TGAATGGAAAGAGACTGAGGGAGCATTGAAGGAAATTAGGAAGGGAGATTGAATATTATTATTAAACAGGAACAGAAAGGAAGGCGGGCAGGTGTGCTGCAGCACCTTTCTGTATGTTCGCTTAAAGAAGGTATATTTCCAGGGGGCTGCAGAGCAATTTTTTAAAACATAGTCCACAACAACTCATACATACAAACAAACCCACCACCATTGACAATTTAATTATCAAAATTAAACTCCTATCCCCTTACACAAAGAAAACATAACATAAAAATAAAAGACTTCCTTTATCCTGTAAACGGCCTCCTTATTTACTTCTTGTGAGAGCATTTTTTTTAAAAAAAGGAAGTGGTAGGCCAAACAGGTTTGGGAACCTCTGACTTAGAGTCTATAGTTCAGCAAATCCTGCCTCAAATTAGAAGGTTAATTACAACACCTCCAGAGCTAATGTCTGTACTTAGCTGGAAGAAAGCTAAGTACAGTACAGGCATTACTGTACTTCCACAGTACTGTGGAAGTCCCTACCACAAGGAAATAACAGGGGCAAACAATGTGGCAATTTCCAAAGAGAGATTACATATCAATAGAAAATGTTAGTTATTCCTAGCTGATTATGCCAATCTTTGCCTCAGCCCATCACCATTTTGTTCTGGCTCTGTATTACTGTTTTGTAACTGGTGGGCCACAGCCATTTTTACCCCACTTGTGGACTCTAGTGTGAGTATGAACCCACAGTGATTAGTTAATGTGCTGACTGCTTTAAAACATTACCACCACAACACAGTAATCCTTAATCAAGGTTTTGACCTACTTTCACAATCCATCACACTGATAAAATTGCAATCTCTGCAAAAAACATAAACACCGTTTCACAGTATAGTCCCACAATATACTTTTTTATGTAATGGTTGATTTTAAAACTGTAGGGCCCTATTTAACTATTATGGATCTTTTGGATTGTGATATTTTTCCAGAACAACAATTTAGATATGTTTTGATAGACCTTCGTGACTCGATCCAACACACCAGAGCCTCATTTGTAAGTTAATATTGTCTCAACCATAGTGAAGGTCTTCAACAGCAATAAAAGTCAGCCTACATAAGATATTCCAAAATTATGTGTGACTGCTTCTTGTGTGAACCAGACAGAGGACAGGAGGTGGACATTAATCCTATCAAGCTTTTCCATTTCCTCTCCCCGCCCTCCCCTCCCAGTCCCAGCAGCTAACCAATGATGAAGAAGAGAAAAAAAAGGTATTGAATATATCTTTCTTCCTGACCTACAGAGTTCCATGGCAAGAGGCACTGAGACATAGGTGGTACGTTGCAGTTATCACAACATACAGAATATGGGAAGGAAGGAAACTATATGGATAAGTGTAGAGACAAAGGTGGAGTTATATAGTAACCCTGGCTAATATTCCTATTAATTGCTCATTTTGCCTTTATTTATAAATGGAGCAATTATTGAGTGTTCTAAATAATTTCTTTAGGATATGTTGTTACCTTTGCGATCAGCTTTTTAATATTTTAAAATGGAAAAGTAGCATAAAATGTTTTAAATAGATAAGGGAGGAAAAAGAACTACTCAGTACTAATGTTTCCATATGCTGTTTATGAAAAGGATTAAAGAGGGTCCCTTATTTCCAACATTGTCAGCGTCTGCATACTGCTTAGTTAAGCTTAATTGTGGTTTAAAGGTGAATACAGTGTGCTGGTGCACAGGCTGAAAAATCACAGCTGCTTTGCTCTTCCCATCCTCCTGCTGCTCTTGTGGTGGCAGGGAGCTAAGCCACGGTTTGGCTTAGCATTGTGTCCAAATGCAGGCTCATGGTTTGTTTTCCCCCAGCAAACAAAGAATGTGCCCAGCTTCAACATAACACTGACTAAACCAAGCCACATTTTAGGTCCCAGCAGCACACCAGTAGCAGGGGTCGGGTAGGAACGGAGTGGTTGCAATTTTCAGTAGTATATGCTGCATGTTGACCTTTAAACCATAGTTAACAATACCGTAGTTTAAAGTGATTTGTGAACCAGGTTATAGGGTTGTACAGTATGTCAAATATTATTTCCTCAAATGCAACATTTGTCTAATAATTCAGTAGTTTTATGGAAAATAGAAAATATTCTGAGTCAATTCCATTCAAATGTTGTAAGATATTATCTCAGGGTATGGTGGCGCTGTGGGTTAAACTACAGAGCCTAGGACTTGCCAATCAGAAGGTCGGCAGTTCGAATCCCCGCGACGGGGTGAGCTCTCGTTGCTTGGTCCCAGCTCCTGCCCACCTAGCAGTTCAAAAGCACGTCGAAGTGCAAGTAGATAAATAGGTACTGCTCCGGCGGGAAAGTAAACGGCATTTCCACACACTGCTCTGGTTCGTCAAAAGTTGCTTAGTCGTGCTGGCCACATGACCCGGAAGCTGTACGCTGGCTCCCTCGGCCAATAAAGTGAGATGAGCGCCGCAAACCCAGAGTCGGTCACGACTGGACCTAATGGTCAGGGGTCCCTTTACCTTTACCTTTATGGTCTGATTGCATGAGGCCACCAATTTGCTGAAGCTAAGCAGATGAGTGCCTGGATGGATGACTGCCTGGGAACCACATGTACCGTATTTTTCGTCCCATAGGGCGCACCGGCCCATAGGACGCGCCTAGGTTTTTTTTGGGGGGTGAAGGGAAAAAAATTATTTCCCCCCCCCCAGGTGCGGGGCTGGGGCGGGGGAAGCCCAAGCTTCCCCCGACCCCAGCCCCCAGAACAGGCTGCTATCTGCAAGCCGTGGGAGAGCTGCGTGACTTTGCGCAGCTCTCTCACGGCTAGCGAGCTAGCTTCCTGAAGCCTGGAGGCAGCGAGAGGGTCGGTGCGCACCGACCCCTCGCTGCTCCAGGCTTCAGCGAGCTCTGCATTCGCCCCATAGGACGCACACACATTTCCCCTTCATTTTTGGAGGGGAAAAAGTGCGTCCTATAGGGCGAAAAATACGGTACTCTTCTTTGAGCTCCACAAGGAGGCATACACATGTAAAAGAAAGGAGGGAGGCATACACATGTAAAAGTATGAAATTACCTTTCCCTCTGTCCTCCTGTATCCTTGGACTAATCAGAGGTAAATTTAGCCCAGTTTTTAATATCAGGATTCCCTAAATAAAACTCTGGGCTTATTTCAAGTGTTATTACTCTGCAGAGAATTGTGCATATCTCAGACACATTGTCTGCAAATATTGTGACATGTCAGGATGTTCCAACTTCAGTCAAGCAACTGATTTCTAAGAAGTGATGCAATTACAAAGTATTCAAGAGATTTTAAATAGCCTTATGGTCTTACTGGCATTTTAAATATTCAAGCAGCACAATCCTATGCATGTTTATTTGGATGTGTGTTTCACTGTGTTCAGTGAAACAAAAGTCTAAGTCTGATTTAATACAACCTAACAAAAAAAAAGTAAAGAAAGAGACGATTATGAGGGAAGCAGGACTGAGCGGCATACAAACTACTGTGTACTTTGTCCATTTCTCATATCGCTGGGCAACTCCTGGCTTGTATAGGTGTAATTTTAACAATATTAGTTTAAATTTAGCAAAAGCAGTTAAAGTATTTTTTTCATTAAATTGCACCTTCACTAGGAATTAAATGTTTTTGGTTTTGCGTTTTGTCATAATACATTACAGGAAAAAAAGACTGAACCTCAGCCTTTAACATCTTTATATACTGTCAAAATTGTATAACCAAATTCAATGACAATACTTTTATTTCTCCTTCTTTATTTCTAATATTTTTTTCACCAGTAATTTTTGAACGATTGTTTCCATTGATATTAAACATGCATTATGTAATAGCTGTTTGCCTAGTCTAACCTGAAAATATACTGCCTAATTCTATTTTTCAGACCTAGTCTGCTCTTTCAATTGATATTACTTCATATGTCTTGTTTTAGTTTATTTTCCTTTGGGTACGTTCAGTCTTTTCCCTGTAGCACATGATAAAGTTCAATGTTCCTGTATTTGCATACCAACTCACATTTTTTATGCAAGTTTCCAGTAATTCAAAACATTCTTACTTAGATCTAATGGCAGGAACAGGAAATGATTGTTTACTCTCCCTCTCTTCTTTGAATCTATTTACTATCACTATACAAACCTGCGCTCAGTAGAAGCTAACTTGTGAATGAATCGTTTAACCAGTGCCAACTAAACAATTACTTTTGGGTCGTTTTTAGAAATATGTGTGTTGGTTTAGAAGCAGAATTATTGTTCCAAGTCCAACAATCACATTTGTACAGGCAGTATCCTAATATTCACTCTAGTGATATACTGTGTTTAAAATAGATCATTCCTCCCCCTGGAATATAAGCTTATCGTCAAGGAGTAAAGTAAATGACCATCATGTTGTCCTTACTGCTGTAAAATGCAGACACTGGTGACATCTCCAACCTAGTCCTGACGTGCTGATCATAGATGCTGCCATAAACAGCACGTCCTCAGGAACAAAAGTCACGTTGTCTGGGACGAAGCATGAAATCCAACCCCTTTCGGTCACCCCACTGTTGTTTGCCTCCACCCATTATAGGAGACAGCCAGTGAGATGAGAAGTGGGAGGGTTTTGATTTTCGTAGAAAACAACTAGTGTTGAGACTGTGCCTTCTAAGTTCTCATGCCAGTTGCCACTCCAGGCCACATTTTGAAGCTCTAGTTCGAAGAGTTAGTTATACCAATAATAGTTCTACTATTTTGGGGGTGAGGAATTTTGCTATCTGGCAAGAGATTAGTGGAAAGCTTAAGTTTCCACCCCACCCTTCTGCTTTCCTGGCAGGGATCCTGTTCCTTGAAGCTGCTTTGTGGCAAGCAGAAATACGAAATGAGGCTTTCTCAAGCACGAAGTTGAACACTACCTGCTGAATTTCTGTCATGCAGCTGTGAAAAGTGCACTGTGAGAAACAGATGACGCCCCCTAAAAAGTATTTCTAGTACGAAACACTAGCTGGCACAGATTGCCTCGTACATTGCTCACTGGCCCACGTGGCAGGACGATGTGGGAAAAGGGCAGCCTTCAGGTGACGATGTATCGCACCTTGGTCAGTATCCAGGCACTTCCGAAAGCAATTAAAAGTGCATGCGCCGAGAATGACGTAACAAGTTAAGGTACAGCGTGTAGGAATGGTTGTAAACTCCACCCCCCTCCTGTGCAACAGCCACGTGAAGAAAATTCAACTGGTGAAGTTATTCCCCTCACTGCAACCCGAAGGCTGGGAAAGGCTTTACCAGCAGAATGTTTTGTCCTGCAGCTGTTACCCAAGGAAGGCGGGCTGGGATGTGTGTGGTGGAGGGGCGGGCAACTCTACGGGGCAGCAACCCGAGAAGGGTGTTTCTGTGGCCCTTCTTGCACGTCTAAGCTCGACGAGGCGTCCTGTAGCATCCGAAAGCTTGCTCCCAACATTTGAAAAAGCCCGTATCCTATCAGCGTGCTTCAAAGCAGCCAGCTCCTCACGAGCCCAGCGCTCGACCCGGCCTCCCTGCTGCGGCTCCGCCTTCGCCGCCCCTTCCCTCAGCCGGCCTCCCCTCGCTAAGAGCCGGAAGTGGACGCGCGGCAGCAACAGCCATCCCAGCGCGGGGAGCGAAAGAGGCGGGGAAGCAGCAGCAGGAGGAGGAGAAGCGGGCTTGGAGTCGAGCTCGCCAGTAAGTTTCTCCGCGGCGGGGACGACGGGAAATGGCTGCGGCGACGGCTGGTGCTTCGGGATGGAGGCTCGCTGAGGTGAGGGCGAGTCTGCAAGGCTGCGAGGGGGAGGAGAAGGGAACGGGAGAGACCCCTCGGGGAGCGTTTGCTGCAGGCGAAACGCGGCTCCCAGGGGGCGCATCCCCGCGCTCAGCCTCTCTGGGCCGCCTTCTTCCTCGCCGTTGAGGCCGCGCTTCCTCGCTCGGTCCCCGAAAACCCCAAGGCATACTCAACCCCAAGGCGCCCGCCGAGGGGCTTCTTCGCTAACTCCCCTTGAGGAGGAGGAGGAATGAATTAGGGGGGCTGGTCTGCTTGGGTCGTCTGGCGCCCGAGGCCAGCCAATTAAGGTGGCGCCGAGGAGGAGCTGTCTGCGTGTGGCTCCACTTCGGAGTAAGGAGACGCTGGAGCAGATAAGGAGGCCTCCTCCATGCTGCCTTGCGAGAAATAGGGCAGCCGAGGAATAGTCTCTCGCTTTCCCACTCCTCCCACCCACCCCCTCGCCTTCGCGGCCTTGCAGAGCAGTTGTTTTGTTTGGGGGTTTTTTGGCACACGCAGATGACTGCGTCTTCCCGCTAATAGTATTGCGTCGAGAGACGGAGAACAAGCTGTAGTTTTGACTCACCGAAACAAATTCCCACGGGTTTGGTTTGTGGGGGGCCTAATAAATTGCGGCTTGAGCATCCTTGGGCAGGTTGGCACGCAACCGGGAGACATACGATTGCTCGCACTCCAGCGTGTGTTGACAGTAGTTGCAAATGCTGCTGGTGTATCACCGGTGTCCATGTGATCAAGCCTCAAAGTAGTAATTAACGGTGGTAATATAGATGCTGTGGTGCATAGGAGCAGGTTTTTATGGCCAAAGGCCCTTGGGTACCACAAGTTGTAAAGCAGCAGTTGGGCTGGGAAACGTTTAATACATGCAGCCAGATTTGATTATCACCGGTGTTATTCCTGGGGTAGATGCTAGAACAGCTAAACAAAACACTGTAATGTTGCCATGGGTGCTTATAGGAACTATAGTAGAACTCTCTGATTCTAGGTTCAGACACTAGTGGTATTTGATTGTATTTGTGGACACCAGATATAAGGAGCAATATTTGTTACTGGCTGTTTTATATTTTGTATCATATAAATATCTTTGTTTACTGGGATACTGAAGAGCTTAATTGATTTTACTTGTTGGCCTTTTATTATTTAAAAGTGTGTTTACTTTTAAAGATCTGACGCTCAAATGCTGAGTTTTTATCCCTTTAGACTTCTTGGATGTGTAGTCTCTTTGCTGCGAGAAAGCTTAGAAGTGTTCTGAGTGTTTATACTAGCTTTTTGTTACAGAAGCTGGTAGGGAGGACATATACAATGCATTCTGTATTATTTTGCAACTGCAGTTTTCTGAAGAGGAATCATGTCACAGGGTGGGATTCAGCTTTGTTTTACTCAGAGTAGACCCACTGAAATATATTTACCTAACTTATTCATGCTCGTCAATTTCAATGTGTCCTGAGTAAAACTTAGTTGAATACCACCCATAGTTTCACAGAATTGAGACATGATGCTGTGGTAAACAGAAAAGAGCAAAATTGCTACATTCAAGTTAAACTTCACTTGTATATGATACTGGTTTTTGATCTTAACTATTTGCTGTTCAAGTGACTCATTGGGCAGTTTTATGTTTCACAAAAGAGTAAAGGTCTTGTTATTCAAGGAAGAGGCATAAGAAATGTAAAAGTTTAATGTGTACAGTTTTATTTGAGGCAGCAGCCGATAAGAACTGAAGCGTACAGTATATGGTAGGAGTATAAGTGTAGGTTGTACTTATTTATAGCCATTCAGTGGAAGTTAATATATTTATGGAATCTCTATATTTAGTATGCACTGACGTACAGAGGAGAAAAATAAAGTATAAATGATTAGAAAATCTGTTGCTTCTGGCACCAGTACAAAACAGGCCATAGCTAAAGTTCTGATTCTGCAAGTATTGAAACTTATTCACAAGTTCACTGTTAGTTGTATTTTTGCTTTAGCATGTCAAGTTGGGAACAGGAAAGCGAGAAGTAAGGTGTGACAATCCTGAAAGCAGAAATAAAACTGGGAAAACTGAGGGAAATTCGCATTTCCCAGGGATTCTCCCTATGGTTTCATACTTAATATCCCCACATATCTTCATACTGGATCTTTTCCCCTGAGGAATGTTTGTCCTCCACCCACCACATTCCATTGTCCTTTGTGGCAGGCTTTTTTGTCATTCTGCGTATGTTGCTCTTGCCACTTTGTGCTGCAGAAGTAAAGATCCCATTAACATAACTATTTTTATAGTGACATATTCAGTGTTGGCATGCTGAACTCATTTGAATGTTTTGATATGTGAAGCTGCTTTGTACAGAGTCAGACCATTAGTTCATCTAGAAATTTCCCAGTTTTGAATAGATTTTTTCCAGCTTTGCCAGGGCATGCCAGGGATATCTGCTACTGATGTTATACGCCTCCGCTATCTCCTTAAATGCCAGTGGCTTCAAGATTTAATCCAATGTTTTTTCTTTGCAAAGATGCCAGTATTGTATCATCTTATTAACTATACTGCACATGCCTCTGGCAGCTGTTTTAATGTCTTCCATGTCTTTCATCACATAAGATTTAATATTCTGCAACCAGAAAATTATATGGATAGTGCATTAAATAAGGATAGTGGGTTAAATTTGAGGGTGTCAGTTCCAAGATCCAGCATAGGTTTCCCTTTGGAGAAAAGCAGGAAATATTGTTGCCTATTTTTCATTCACTGCATCTCATACTCATCATACTCATACTGCTGGAGCATCCAATAATAATAATAATAATAATAATAATAATAATAATAATTTATTTCTACCCCACCCATGTGGCTGGGTTTCCCCAGTTACTCTAGGCAGCTTTCAACAGAACATCAAAAACAGAATAAAACTTCAAAAAAACACTAGGAACTTCCCTAAACAGGGCTTCCTTCAGATGTCTTCTAAAAGACGGATAGTTGTTTATTTCCTTGACATCTGAATGGGAGGGCATTCTACAGGGTGGGCGCCACTACCAAGAAGGCCCTCTGCCTGGTTCCCTGTAACCTCACTTTTCACAATGAGGGAACCACCAGAAGGCCCTCGGCAATGGACCTCAGTGTCCGGGCTGAACGATGTGGGTGGAGATGTTCCTTCAGGTATACAGTGGTACCTCTGGTTACATACTTAATTCGTTCTGGAGGTCCGTTCTTAACCTGAAACTGTTCTTAACCTGAAGCACCACTTTAGCTAATGGGGCCTCCCGCTGCTGCTGCGCCACCGCCACGTGATTTCTGTTCTCATCCTGAAGCAGTGTTCTTAACCCGAGGTATTATTTCTGGGTTAGCGGAGTCTGTAACCTGAAGCGTATGTAACCTGAAGCATATGGAACCTGAGGTACCACTGTACTGGGCCGAGGCCATTTAGGGCTTTAAAGGTCAGCACCAATTGAATTGTGCTCCGAAACATACTGGGAGCCAATGTAGGTCTTTCAGGACCAGTGCTATATGGTCTCAGCGGCCACTCTCAGTCACCAGTCTAGCTGCCACATTCTGGATTAGTTGCAGTTTCCAGGTCACCTTCAAAGGTAGCCCCATGTATAGCGTGTTGCAGTAGTCTAAGCAGGAGATAACTAGAGCATGCACCACTCTGGTGAGACAGTCTGCGAGCAGGTAGGGTCTCAGCCTGTGTACCAGATGGAGCTGGTAGACAGCTGCCCTGGACACAGAATTGATCTGCACCTCCATGGACAGCTGTGAGTCCAAAATGACTCCCAGGCTGCGCACCTGGTCCTTCAGGGGCACAGTTACCCCATTCAGGACCAGGGAGTCCTCCACACCTGTGGGAGTGCAGATGGTGGACTTTGGTGGATTTACCTGTTGTCCTAGGCATTTGGGGTAAACCTGTGAAGGACACAGTTTCTTTAGGTCTTCTCATGCTGTTGTGTTTATTAATTGGATTTACTAATGACACTTTTTAATTAATGTATATCTTGGGTTGTATATTTTATGATATGTTGTAAACCACCCTGGGATCACCATGTGATGAAGGGTGATCTACAAATTTTAAAATAAATAAAGTCTGGATTGAACCCATTGCATGTAATTCATTGTATATGAGCAATGCCAGATGAAATGTATGGTTTCCAATGCAGAACATTCTTCTAAGTAAGAAATCTCATCTGGTTTAAAATGGATTCTAGAGTTGGACTGAGCTGTGTTGGCAAGACAGTGCTTCACAATTTTCCACAGTTACTGATGTAGAAATAAACTGCTTTTAAGTTTAGATATGCTCTTCCAAGCATTGCATTTGTAGCATTATATAGAAGTAATTAATATACATAAACAATGCACTTGTTCTAATAATTATGAGAAATATGTAGCTGTGAGTAGCTGCTGTTAATTACAGCTGAAATATTTTATATACATTTCTTGCTTAGTCTTAGTGTTATGTGTGAATGCAGCCACTGAGTAACACTCTTATTTGTTTATTCCCATCACCTATGTTCTTTTGCTGAATTCTAATGCCTGTGCTTATCTACCCTATTCAGCTCTGTTGGAAATACTGGAAGAAGGGTAGCCAGAGCTAACCCTGACACCAATGGAAGTCTGAACAGCGTGCTTGCTGAAACTTGAGTGGTTGCACTTTTTCAGCCCCTGTTCTCGGACTACCTACAAAATTTGATCACACTCACACGTCATTCTTAGGGTTTGCATGTTCCCCTCTACTTGGGTTATGTGTGTCTGTCTCGCAGATGAAGAACCTAGGCTTTATTAGAAACCAACAGTCCTTGGGACTGTGCACATGAATAACACAAAAGGAAGCAGGAGCAGGAATTATTTAAGCATAGGTTAATTTTATTACTTCATTCATTGCATTTATGTGCTGCCTCATAACACAAAATTCTGTAGGTTACTTAGCGCAAACAAAATGCATATGCAGCTGGTTTGAGAAATGAGACAAATGGTTGCTGATTGATACTGCATTGTTTTTCATTTTACAAGCATACAATAAAAGCTTGGACCTAGTTCTTGAAGCGGTTTTAGAAATCTACCATTTTGAAATACTTTTTCATTTGATTTTGCAAATATAGTTCATTTTGTTTCTAACGAGTGTTTTTCTCTCTCCTTCCAGTGCTTCTGAATCTGGCTTTGAACATTTTGGAGCCAAGGATTTGCAGAAGAGGTGACTGGAGTTGTTAATGGACATCTGTTTTCACGGCATGGCACAAATATCTAGCAGCAATGAAGTCAAACAGCGTTCATCACCATCTTTGGGCACAGCAAAGGCAAAAGAAGTGGACAAAGAGGAGGCGCTGCAGATGGAAGCTGAGGCTCTAGCTAAGATGCAAAAGGAAAGAGTGGTAGCTGGTAACAGACAAAGTGTTGACATTTTAAGCAACTCTTGGCCAACTGTACAATCCCACAGGAAACAGGACCATGATCTTATGGTGTTTCCAGAGTCCGATGCCAAGAGAAAGATGGATGATAAGTTAAATACAATTGAGATAGAAAAACTAAGCCATGCTGAGCTAGAGAAACTACTACTTGAGGACAGTTCTGAGTCAAGCAAACACACCACGTTGCCAGCAACTCCTATTCTGAGTTCATCATTTTCTTCACAGTTTTATGCCAACCCTACTATTCAAAGAGGACAGTGGACACCTGGGTTTCCTGGGCCGCCTTCTTGCACTGTACCTTCTATTTACCCAGCAAATTCTTACAGCAAACAAGTTGGTATCTTTCAGAATGGCTTCCATCCAGGTATGTCCACTTACCAGTCTTCAAAGCCTATTTATCTAAGTCTTCCAGAGAGGTCCCAGTACATTACATATGCACTGCCTTCTACTTCAGCCTTCCATCCACAGAGAAGTTTGCCTATATATCATCCAACACTTACCCCTGAAATGGCAAAAGTATTTGATAAGATAGCAAGCACTTCAGAATTTCTGAAAAATGGGAGATCAAGCACAGACTTAGAAGTGACTGCTACTAAATCTACAATTAACTTACCAACCTCTGAAAACTCCAGTGATATTAGTAAATTTGATTGGTTGGATTTGGATCCTTTAAGTAAACCGAAAGTCGACAGTATGGATATATTGTATGCGGCAGAAGATGATGCAAAGGTGACTTGTAGTACAGTTGTAGAAGATCCTTGGGATGCTGTGCTACTGGAGGAGAAATCCCCAGGGAAATGTCGTCTTGAAAGAAAAGTTAGTGGGAAGTCTTCTTCTGGGGCAACAGTTACAAGAAGTCAGTCTTTAAACATTCGAACCGCTCAGCTTACTAAGTTACAGGGCCAAACATCACAGGTAAAACATATCCTGAAAGCTTATTTTCATTTTGTAAGCTTGCTTTCATTTTGAAAAGTTGATACTATTTAATGGAATGAAGAATTTGTTCCCTGCCCAACCATAATTCTACAAATAATTGATTATTAGAACTTTTAAGAAAATTGTGAATTCGGTAACTTGTGTGTTTATTTTGCATTAATTTTTAAATTGGAAATTTTAAATTAAAAAATATTGTTCCTGTTAAGTACTACAGTCACATTTTCTAAAGAATGCAGTATAGCTTCAGACAATTGCCTTCTAGATGTGCAGAAGTCAGAAGAAAGAACGGTGAGTAGGGAGAGTTTTATTTGCCTTCATTACTGCCCCTACCTTGCACCCCCACCATCAGAAACCAGGTTTGTGTAGCTGCTTCATTACTGAACAGTACACAGCTGTGGGTAGACCTTATGCAGCTCCATCAGATCACAAACCTTAGAGTGAGACACTAAGTCCGCAGATTAAGGGAACCCTCTGGTTACGATAATTTTTTGGCGTGATATTTTTCCTCCTACTTGTAAAGTCCTTCAACCTCACGAAAATACACATACTTGGGGCAATCCTGACTGTGGGTGGCCCTGGTTTGCAACCCGGCTGATAAAGTATAGGATCACAGAATTGGGAATTAGAAGGAAAAAATTTAGGACCCACAAAATGTTGCCGAGTAGCCTCCTGTTGAGGCTCCACCCAGTCTAAAACAGAAGGCCTGGTCTCGTTTCTGTAAAACTTTTCGTACTGTGCTATTTAGTTCCAAAGAGATTCAGAACTGGCTTCCAGAATGGGGTTTGTTTATGGTTTTTTTGGTATCTAATAGCAGTGGGGGGAGGATACTTTTTTTGAGGAATGTGGAAGGAGTGAATACGCCACATAATGCTGTGATAGTAGTCCTAATCTCATGGTTTGCATACCCCAGACTTTAATTCCCCTGAAATACTGTAGCAGTTAGCAGCTCAAAGATGCCAAGCCAATGCCCTCTGCATCCCTTTCCCCTATTATTAATTATTATTATTCTCCAACTAACACTTTCAACACTCTGGGCTTCTTCAAAGCAGGTGATTGTGCTCAGTTCCCATTAGGATGTTTTTGGAGTTCTTTTCCTTTTTTAAAAATGCAGAAACTACTATATTTTCTGTGGGCAGCTCCATTTTACCGCTAAACTAATTGGTCCAGAATCACCAAGTGTGGTATTAGAAGGGATGATTATTATTCAGTTTAATCATTATCGAAAAGTCACAAACAGTTCAGGTAGGTTAAGAGTAGTCAGTGTATGTGCAAGTAAACTTAATTGTGATGAGTTCTTAAAGTCTGGTTATTCCTATACTAAAGACTTACTGACATCACATGGGCTACTTGTGAGGAAGTGGTTTCAGGATTTCTGCCATTGTGTAGTTGGTTACTTTGCAGAACTACTGTAATAAGATACTTCTGCTGAAAAAAAATAATTTTTAAAGATTATTTTTTCCATGTAAACAGGCTCTTTTAAAAAAATTGCATTAGAAACTCTTATATCCCATATTTCATACTGATGTACCACACATAATGCTCTATGTAGTATATTAAATATATAAACTTGGTCCCCAAATCTCTGTGGTTTATCCTTTACAAAGAGGTTCCATCTGTGTGATCTGTCATGAGTATTAGGAGGAAGTAGACATTTAGGCCCCGTGCATGATCAAAACTATCTGGCATGGGAACAAAGCTTTGCAACTCGGCTGGATAACACTTCAGCAGAACAAAACAAAGGCCTGAGATTTAATATGCTCACAACGGTTCTCAAATTTCGAAGTGTTTTTTTCCTAGTGTAGGAAGTGGCAGTCATATTAACCCCTACTGTTCATTTATTACTCTTTAGAATGCCCATGTAGGACCTCTGAGTCTGTTGGGATGTGCGTTATTTGTTTGCCATGACATGACAGCCAGATAATAATAAAATGGATTAGTCAGCTCATTTGTATGCCTAGGGTGTGGGTCTTTTCTGGGGTTTCTCTAGTTGTAGTTTTTGTATTAAATTTTTCTGCAGGGATAGTCAATAGGAGTGATGGGAGTTGTAGTCCACAGCACCTGGAGAGTACCATATTGGCTACCCCTATCGTAGATTATGGGTTCCGTATATGTGGTGGTGTTAGAGAAGATAATTTATTATGGTCAAAGACCAGCTCGTATGTGTGGTGGTGTTTTTATTATATTCAGTAATTTTGGTTTCTAACATTTTTATCGTAACCATCTAGTTAGGGTTTGCACTGAAATACAGGATAGAACTAAATGTGTCAGATAAATTTGACTGCCGTTACACTTAGGCATTTTTTATTCACAAAATTAAAATTATATTAAAATATCAGGTATTAGCTTGATCTAAGACTTGGGCATTTAATTTTGTTTTCAGCTACAGAATATAAATGTTATGCTGAATCAGACCATTTAATTCAGCATTCTTCCTTGGAGGTAAAACTAATGAATCAGTTGTCTATTAAATGTAGCAAAATCCCTGTCCCAGGAGCTATTGCCATTTAATTTAATGTCATGTTCACTTCTGTTAAAACACTATGTGATATCTTCATAAATTAAATCCTTACTCTATTCACAATTCGGTTATGCTAGGTAAAGCTCAGTCTTTAAATTGGAGACATGTGTTATGCTTTCTTCAACAAAGTTTCTCAGAAACCTTGATGCTGTGGAAAGTTTAAAATGACATACATATTATCAAAACTAAATATATTGCAAGTCACATTAGCACTTTGGAAATTTATTTTCATTTTTATCACATTTGCAGCGCAATGAGAATCGTGTTTACATGGAAATAAAATCAGTGAGGCTAAATATATAAATGGTTGGTTTATACCTCGGAAAGTAGGAAGAGATATGTGAGGTTAAAACATCTGGTATATTACTGCATTGTAAGCCACAGTCTTTTTCTTTGAGGAAAAAATGGCAAGCCACGTAGGCAACTGGAAGTAAACACAGCTAAAATTCTCCTCCCATCCACACAGGAGGGGAATGTGCATGTTCAAGGTTCACTGCAGTACACTCACATTGTACTAAGTTATGGTTTAGCATTACATTCCAACATGGCTAGTTTGCTATGTCTAGGATAAACTGTGGTTAGTTTCAACTATGGTTTGTACAAACAAGTATACTTCAAACTGTGATTTAGAATCTTGACTTGTTAAGATAAGCTATAGTTGAAAATAATTGCAGTTCGCAGCTGAGACAGAATGATGCACTGTGGTTAACTGAAAACAGAAGCAAATGCTTCTAATCTTCTCTTGGCCACACTGTAGGAACAGGGGAGGAGAGGCAAGCTTGTGCATATAATGCTAAATTTGTTTTAGTGTTCCATCCAAACCAGGTTAGGTTTTTTTTATCATCATCATTTACCCACATTTCACTCCAAGGTCCTGGGGCAGGCTACAACATTAAAACACAATATTAAAAAGGGTTTAAAACAATTTACAACAATCACAGAACGTTGAAGAATGTACTTCATGGGAGTTGGTTGTAAAAAAAAAAAAAGCCACTTTCTGTGGGTTAGAGCCAAAGATCTCTAGGTATTAGCAGAAGACACTCGATGGCTCCCCCAGAGTAGTTTGTAGTGTGGTGGAGGGGCTGCAGCCTGAATCCAAGCCAAGGTAATTTTTTTGGTACCAGCTGGTTTAATTGATGCTACCCAGCAACGTGACAAATGGCAGACCAGGACCAACATACTTGTGTTATTTTATTTTACTGTTGGCTATTGAATGGAGGACTAATCATATGCTGCCTTTCAGAGTGTATTTTGGCACTGATAAATGGGACATTTCCTCTTGTGGCATGTCATATGGTACATGTGCTTTAAATCACAAGTGAATGTGTGATTTAAGCAGTTGGCACAAAAATGGCACAGGTGGCAGGAGCTATGGCATTAAAGGAACTCCTATTTTGAAGTTGTTCATATAAGACATTGTATGAGTTACTTTTTTACATTTTCCCCTGGAGATTATCTTTAAAATTTTGGATTTTGACTTGACTAATAGCAGCTGCATAAATATTTGTTCAGGTCTTTTAATAACATGAATAAAATGTTCCACAGACTTTTGAAGTAAACCTACTCACATCTTATTTCAGGACTTAATTCCACAAGAATGCCATCAAATTCTGTATAATGGAAATTAGAGGTAGAAGCCATAAAACTGTGATTATTTTAAGACTAAATAATTAGAACTAAGAATTCCTTTAGTAGGAGTTCCAGATCATAATCCATTTCACTTGCTTTTATTTGGAAAGTGGAATCAGAGAACAGAAAATATCCTGTTTATGTCTGTTGCAATATCATCATATTAAATTTGAGACTGTATGCCTCAGTCTAAACAGATGTAGGCTGCAATCCTGTACCCACTTACTTGGGAGTAAACCCCATGGAACCTCTTTCTGAGTGAGTGCATATAGGATTATGCTGTTGGTGGTGGGGTTGGGGTGAAGATTTGTTATAATTATGTCATAATGGTGTGTTTAAATCTGGTTTTTCCATCTGTCTATATGTGTTATGCAATATATACTGTTGATTATATTGTGTGTGTGCATGTGTGTATGTGTTTAAATAAACAGAAAATGAATCCATCATCAGATAATGAGAGTACCAGGTTGAACTGGAAATTTTTCAGAGACACAGTTGTTGCGTATTAAGGTGGAGAATTTTTCCAAAAAAAAAATTTAGTTTCTATACTGGTTTTTGGTAGAAGGCCCCCACAACAGTCAAAAGCATATTAATACAACAGAAGATACAGTACGGTATATAATAATCTACCAGAACAATATATGACAACAAAATCTCAAGATAGAGACAAGGCTAAAATAGAATTTTCCCAAGCTAAAGAATTAGAGTGTTCTTAACAACCCTACATTCCATACATTTAAGTGTTAGAAGCCTGAACAGACAATGAGCCACACTAAAATAAAATTACATCTGACTAAAGGAATTAAGCAGTACTCTCACTTCTACCCATTTTAACTATTCAGGGGTTTAGGGCAAACAAGCAATCCATGTAAAATGTCCACACGAAAACAAAAACCAATGGGAAGCATGCCCAGTATCTATAGCTGCCACAATTTAACACACATTTATTTGTTTGTTTGTTTGTTTGTTTGTTTGCTAAGCAGAAGCAAATACATTTCTATGATCTTGAGACTTGAGGCATTTATAGCAATAACCTGGAACGGCAGTGTTTGAAGCTACTTGAAACATTGCTCTAAGTCAGAGGTGAGCAACCCACGGTCTAGACTAGAGGACCCATGGTGCCGTGCACTACTTCCCTTGGTGCACTTCACCCGCCCCCAGAAGCCTGAAGGAAAAAATATAGAGAAAGAAGGAGTAAATGATGTGAGGAAAGGACAAATGTTTGTGTGAATAAACGGGTGTGTGGTAAGAGAGAATGAAATGTTCAGTGAACAGCGCAGCTAGACAAGGTGTCTGACCCTTTATGTGCTTTGATCCCATTTGCAACCATCAATAAGTGGCCCTGACCATTTCCCCATCCTCCAGGAATGTGGAACTCAACCCTGGGAAGGTTGCCCACCCCTACCTACTCTTAGCAGTGGTAGACTGCTTTCTATAAAACAAATGTATTTGGAATCAAATACACTTAGTTTTGCCAGCTCTGTCCCACCTTTAGCCACTGCAGGTGAGACTAGAGCTATGCTTTCACTGGCTTCTTTCTTCAAAACTTTCTTAGGCATTACAGATATAGACCATCTTAAAATACATGCAAAAATTTAAAATATATACAAAGAAGCAGCCATTCAAGATATATAGTAACAGAATATTTCATTGGGATGTCTTCCCGCCAAACCGTGCCATTTACCACTGTAAGAGATACTATTGAAATTCAGCCACCCTTGCAGCAACCCTTACCTCCGGGTTAATATCAGACAGGTAGAATCTGATATTTTCATTGTGGCATGATGTTAAACTACCCCAAAAAGGGGGATAACACACATTTATGTAGCTGGTTGTACAGTGGACAGTAGAAATCAATATGTTCTACAGTGTCTAGCACATTCAAATAACATCCACAATGTCTATCATTTCTAGAGATGTTTAAATATCTGCCCTTAACAAAAGCTGAGGGGAAACGTTCCGTTGGGCTAACATAAATGCCATGTGTTGGGCTGGAATTACTAGCTTTGAGATATAAGTGTTATTGGTTGCATTTAAACTATAGAACTTTGGGGAGCAGATTTTATTTACAGCTGATTAAATGTTTTGTTTTTCAATATCCCATAATCAAATTTGGATATTGCAATAAATATATTGCTTACTAGAATTACACATTAATTCCAAGTCAATACCAATAGATCTATGAGTTGTATGAGCTGGAGCCATCTGGATTTATAGGAGTCCTTGAGTAAATCAGAAAGCAGACTCGAAAGTTGGGAACGAAAATGGCAAAGCAGCCAGTATTTTATAGTGCTAGTCCACGCCCAATATTCCATCATGTGTATACTTAATTATGCACACATCGTCTCATACTTGATTGAATTTGGGAGACCAAGGAATACGTCTCAAGAAAGGCTTATAGGAGTCATGTCTATCACTGCTTTACTTCTTTATTCTTAAATTTCAGACAGACAATGGGACCAGTAACCTGCCAACAGGAAATAAATTTCTCAAAAATGGTGATGGCCAAGATCAAGAACAAGCAGCATTTTGTGATGCCATTGCAAAGTAAGCATTAGTGTGGTGCAAACATCTTTAAGGAAGTAAATGACAGCAATAGTTTCATTTATAGGCTTGACACTTGAGTATTTTGTTTCATGTGTCATGTGTTATATCCATGCTTTTTTACTGGTTTGGAGGAAAAATGCAATTTTTTTAATAGTTATTAAGCAGCAAAACACTTAAGATTGATTTCTGAATTTTTACTGCATATTCATATGGCTGTAGGATGTTTTAGGTAAAGGGTAAAGGGACCGCTGACCATTAGGTCCAGTCGTGACCGACTCTGGGGTTGCGGCGCTCATCTCACTTTACGGGCCAAGGGAGCCAGCGTACAGCTTCTGGGTCATGTGGCCAGCATGACTAAGCCGCTTCTGGCGAACCAGAGCAGCGCACGGAAATGCCGTTTACCTTCCCGCCTGAGCGGTACCTATTTATCTACTTGCACTTTGACGTGCTTTCGAACTGCTAGGTTGGCAGGAGCTGGGACCGAGCAATGGGAGCTCACCCCATCACAGGGATTCGAACCGCCGACCTTCTGACCCACAGCGCCACCCGCTGATCTGTTACAATACTATGTAATGGAGAATTGGGGGAAAGAGGGGAACCTGAAATTTGTGCACTAGGAAATGTTGAATTCTGTGATTACATAATTTATTCCATGGTGTGTAGATTTGCATAAACTTGTTCACTTTTAAAATCTGATTCAGATATCTTTTGTATAGATAGTTTGAGATTTGTAGGATAATGGAACATTAGTTTCCATGAGTACAAGGCCAATGACTGGTCTCATAGGGTGGAGGGGAAACAAGTAAAACAGTTTTTAAGCAAATGAATTAACTGTGTGAATCTAACTGTTTACTAAGAAATAAGTAACATTGTGAACTCCATGTAAGTGTACTTTATCTTCATCAGAGCAAGGAACTTACATACATATTGCTTACAGGTTGAGGACCAAGTTTCCCTATGACAATCTTGATACAAACTCAGGATTTGTGCTGAGCCCAGTAATGTTGCAAAGAAATATCAGTGGAGAGAACTCAAGCATCAAGATTTCAATAGAAATTGAAGGTTTCCAACAGCCAGTGATATTTACATGTGATGGTATGGGTGTTTTCATTTTTTATAAATGATGTTTCCATAGATCAAAAGATTACCTCAAGATGAAAATTCCAAGAATTATTTGCATCCTAAATTATTAGCACACATGAGAATAGTCATTATTCTACAGTTTGTGTTTCAGTTGGTTGTAAATACCAGTAGATAAGATTCCTCTTACCAAATGCGTCTGGTGTAATTATTAGGGAACTGTTAAATAGGCTGGGTTTGGGTTTTTGTTTTTGTTTTTACTAGAACTAGTTTAAGTGTTTCAAATCTATTAATTGGGCAGCCTGGTCAAATTTGCATGTCATGTCAGCCTTTTAAATAAGTCTGGGAATAAGCCATCTCCCGTGTGATAAAGTTGGCTAGCTTGGGTTCTAAAGTAACATTTTATTATTTAGATTATCACCGCCACTCTCTTAAATCAAGCAGTTTAAATTAAAGTATAGTGAACAAATCATTTTCCTTGTAGTTGAAAACTTGCAGACATGTCATTGATCTTTTTATGGAGAACCCTCATAGAACTCACTGCATATTCTGGTATGGTTACCAGGTCACTCTGATAGTGACCACTCCCCTAATACGTTACCTTGTACTGGATTTTATGTCTTTAAAGGACTTCTGCACTTAAATCAGCTGGAAATAGAAATTATATTTCATATAAACATCTATTAACTCATTTAAATTGGAAAAACCTCAAGAGTTAGTGCAGAATAAAATAGTACTTTCTTAACTATTGTCTTCTATGTTTGTTTGTTTGTTTTTTGTCTTTAAATAGCAAGTTCTCCAGTTGAGCTTATAATAATGCAAGCACTTTGCTGGGTGCATGATGACTTGAATGATGTAGACATTGACAGTTATATCTTGAAGGTTTGTGGACAAGAAGAAGTTTTGCAGAAGTAAGCAGATACTTTCCCTCTCAATATTTAAGTGGGCTTAGGGTGCTTTCAGAAAGAGAATATTGCAAATAATGCAAATGTTTGTTAACTTACTGGATTTTCTGCAAAAAGAGTAAATCTGGATTAAATACAGGCTCTCATTTTGATGATGATGTCGTGTGGACACTGGTGGGGGGGGACTTGTATGTATAGCCGAGAAGAGATTTTTTGCTGATCCCTCTTCTGCTCTGCACCTAAAATATGTTTGGAAAAGAGGGTCCTCCACCTCTCAAACAGATTTTTTGGGTGGTTTTGAAGCCTGCTGTGTATCTCCCAGACTCATCAACTATGCTAAGCCATAGTTAACAAAGAAAAAGAGAAGAAGCAAGGGCAGTAGTGAGTGGGCAGTAGTGAGGAAGGGAGCACATGTTGACTGCAAAGGCATGTTACATCTGCATTGACCACAGTGTTGCTTTCTAGATTCCAGTCACTATTACTTTCCAGGAAAATCTTTTAGAAAACGTTTTGCAAATTTGAAATGGTAGGCAACCACATGCATTTCTTTTACAGTAAGCACGGTGTAGGAAGCCATGAATACATTCAGAACTGCCGAAAGTGGGACACGGATATTAAACTGCAGCTCTTGACCCGTAATGTTATATGCAGAGATTTGGCACGAACAGTAAGTACAAAGTGAACACACATTCTCAAAACAACCTGACTTTATTGATTTCATGTGTATTATTGAGGTTGTGCACATTCCTTGCTCTCTCCTTGTAGCTTGGAACTGAGGAAAAATATAACTTGTTTTCATTATAGTTATAAGTGAGGATTAAAAAAACATTTCAGCCTCTTAACTGTTCAGGAGCATGGAGAAATATATACTTGTTGCTAGTGATTTCATTTTATATATTCTGTACTATTTTGTCAACACTTCCTTAAAGCATTAAAAGAACTTGATAAAGCACTATAATTCGCCCCTGCCCTGTCATCTACACTGCATCAAGTATCTAATTTTCTTTTATAAGACAAGCCAGTCCAGATACATAGAATGTTAATCTTGGTTTATTGCTGTTTTTAATTTTTTTAAAATTTCTTAAATGCCCATTTTAAACTGTTTTTACTTTACATTATATTGTTTTATGCTCTCTTTGTAAACCGCTTTGAAGTTGTTTGTTTTTGTTTAGAAACAAGCGGTATTTAAAGTTTATGAAATAAAGGAATGAACAAAACAATTTTTAGCTTATTTCTTGAATTAGGAAGGTTCTTTCCCATTGTTATAGTTAATAAAAATATTGAAATATGCTGTAACATATCAATAGATATTAACAGTGCTTTTTTTAAACAAAAAAAGTTTAGGGGTACTCTCATTTTGACTCAAGAAAATCACCATTTTATAGTTCAAATCGGGAAAAATAAATACAGTAAATGGACAAAAGTATAAAGATTCACAAAATGTTTTGGGGTATACGTACCCCTGCATACCCCCTCAGAAAAAACCACACTGGATATTAATCCAGTTAAACAGCAGACATTTTCTCCGTCGGGATTCTTCTTTTGCAGATGATGGGTTCCAAATTTATCCAACATGTTAAAGATCAGAGCACAATTCTTACTCTAGAATAGAGCTTTTTTTTGTCACCCCGTTGTTAACCAAATGGTATTGTTGAATGTGTCATAGCATACTATTAGTGTAGGTCTTAGGAAAGTTTCTGTAAAATGATCTTCAGGTGTTACTTAACATTAAAACACCTTAGCCATATATATAAAACAGCAAGTAGTATTTGTTGGAGAAGTAAGATGCCCAGTACTAGATGTTTTACTCATCTTTTGGAACTGTCATAAAATAACAAAATTTTGTACTAACATTAAAGAAATTGAAATTATCACAGGACATACCATGCCAAGGGACCCATTGAAGCTTCTTTTTGGTTGCCTATGGGCAACAGGAAGATGATCCTTTATTAAGTGCAGCCCATATCACTGTTTTATAACTGAAACAAAATCTGGCCTCCAAGTTTGGAGGACTAGCTGATTAGTTTGAGATATAGCTTGCATGGTTAAATTGACCAATATGATTCAGTTCAAAAAGGTTAGGCACAACTATGATTGTTTTATTGAAAAATGGACTCTTCATCATCTGTGATAAGGCACAAATAAACTTAAATCCATATGCTTTTTTGGATTCTCCAAGATCTTTATTTACTGTGTTAAACATAACCAACTTTTCCTCTCCTTTTTTGCTGTTCTGTTTGTACGTTGTTTAAAAAAAACCAAAGAAAATAAAGCATCCTTAGAACAGCAGTCATCACAATGAATAGGGCTGAAAGCAAAAAATGCAGGAAATTCCTGTGCACATATAAACATTTTGTACATATTATAGAGCTCTTTAGCACCTGGCCGCGGGCTTTTTAAAGTATTTGTAGAGGTGAAATAGGTTCATTGGAGAGCTTAAGGGCTAACAGTGCAATCCTTTTCATGTCTGCCCCAAAGCAAGCCCCACTGAGTTCAATTAAACTTACGTATTCCTAGGTCAGTTTTGGCTTACCGCCTAAAACATTAGTTAACCTGAAATGGATTTTACAGTAAAAAAAAAGTGAGTTGGCTTTCAAAATTCCTGTTTGGTTCACTGATTCATGGTGAATAGTTAATAGAATTTGGAGAGTTAAAAATATTGGTACAAGTTTATAGACTTTGTGACAAACCCTTAACTAGAATATTTGAAGGTAGATATTTGTGCACTTTATTCTTTAAAGGAAGAGTGGGGGGGAAGCCAAAATTCTCATTTTCTAAACTCCAGACAAATTGCTGTCCATGTTTATATTACTTTTTAGAATTCCTTTAGAAGTAACATGTGGTTATAGCCTTCAAATAACTTGTATATCTCTCCTTTTTAGGAAGATGATGACAGTACACCTGTAGATTTGACGAAGCATCTTTATCATGTAGAAAAGCTTTTCAGAGAAAGCATTCAAAGGTAACCACTGTCATAACATCCTTTGTAATGAAATGAATTACCTTCAAGTTGTCAGTATATTTCTTTTACAAATGCATATAATAATATAATCATTGTTCGTTTCAGTCAGTCTCTTGAAGAGCTGTTGGAAGCTTATCATAATCAAGTCGATAAACTACTTAAGAATGAGGTAAGCATTATGTCTTGCTGCGCTAAACTTACTTCTGTGGCAATAAAAAAATTCCTTCCAGGAGCACCTTAGAGACCAACTAAGTTTGTTATTGGTATGAGCTTTCGTGTGCATGCACACTTCTTCAGATACACTGAAACAGAAGTCACCAGACCCTTATATATAGTGAGAGGGTGGGGAAGGGTATTACTCAGAAGGGTGGTGGGAATGGGTGATTGGCTGATAGGTGTGGTAAACCTGTTGACGACTGTTAATGACTGCAATTGGTCTTACAGGAAAAAGCAAGGGGTGAGATGGCTAAAAATATTTTTTAGCAGATGGCGCTGTGGTCTAAACCACAGAGCCTAGGGCTTGCCAATCAGAAGGTCGGCGGATCAAATCCCCGCAACGGGGTACGGGAAGGTCTAAACAGGAAGTCAGCCTTCCGTTTCTTTGTAGATAGATTAAAGCAAAGACATGGCAAACTAGAGCTCAGAAAATCGCTTGTAAAGGACTAACTTTCATCATTTAAGATTGTGGAACCCCCTTCGGAAGCAGGAGAAGAGGGGGGATTTTTTCTGAACTGTTTAAACCTGCAGAAGTGAGTGTAAAGTAACTTTCCACCGTCTTGATCCTGGAGTGGGGTGTCAGGACTGACATTTTTTGAAGCTCATTGACCAGAGACAAACGTTTTTGACAGATAGCTAAAAGAAGAGAAACATAGTGATTCCATTGTTCCCCTTCGCATTTTAAAGGAATAAATATTGACAAAATATCTGAAAAAGGAAACTTTGTTGTTAGATTTGTCTTTAAAAGAAAAGAACAAATAGAAGTTTTTCCCCTAGAGGGAGCTTGTGAAACTGTAACTAATTCTGAATCGGGGAGCTTGCAGCTGTTACAGATTACGATCGTGGGAGTAGACTTTTGACCTTGCAGGACAATGTATTCAGAAGCTCTGCTGTGTGCTCTCTGTAAAACAAGTGCCCTACTGGAACAGCTACATGAGAAGACGGACTTGATGACTGATGCAATCAAAAATTTTGAACAGGCAGTGGGAAATTATATGGAGTCCACTCAGGAATTAAATCAGGAGTGTGCCCTGACGGAACAGATGAGGGAAGAGGATGTTGCTGTATCTTGGGCGCCAGAGATGGAGGGAGCTGTGGCCCAGCAGGAACATGAGCTTTTGGATTTGACAAATGAACTTGGAAAAAGCCAGATTTGGAAAGATAAAGTTTGGTTTGGTTTGGAAACGGGGGGGTGGATAGACCCTCCTATGCAAGGATGTTTGGACTTTTCAAGTCTGGCAATGGGCCGTGAGATGTTTGGGGTTGTGGGGCTCTTAATTTTGGAGAGACTTTGAAACATGTTCTTAAATATCACATGGAGTTTAGTGTGGACTATGGAAAAGGGGCTGATATGTCGAGAAGGGTCAAAAACATTGCTAAGCTGGAGTTCCCACGAGTGAAAGGAGCAGGAGACAAAGGAAAATACAGTTATAAATATGAAGAAGAGCCACGGAAGGGACATGGAAGGGACTTAAGGGCCTCGGATATAAGATTACCAGGTTAATGCGCTAGATTGATGAGATAAAAAGGACTGACAAAACTCAGGACCAGGAAGAAGAGACGCTGGATGAAGATTGGATTGTTTTTTAATTTCTTTTTTATTATTAGGATTGTTTTATAAAACTGATGAATGTTAGAAAAATGTTGGAACGAAATTATTTGGCTTTATCAAAAATGTTTAAAGAATTATGTAAGAATATTATGGTTATGAGAAGTTGGTAAAAATAAGATTTAAGTTTTAGGTTTTAAGGTTTTTATAGTAAGATAAGATTAAAATAGATTAAGGTAATGTAATGACAGAATATTATGAAATATGGAAAGGATTTGCTGCGACAATTAACAACTAGGATACAAAAAAAGGGAGGAGGAGGAGGTCAAAGAAAGAAGGTAATGACAGTTAAGGATTTGAGAATAATGGATTTGTTTTTAAATGTTTGTGGTATATTTTTGTTTTTTGACCGTGTTGTGCTATTTTTTGATTTTGATTTTTATTAATTTGTATTGTTTGATGTGGTTTGTTTTTTCTTTGTTTTTTCTTTCTCTTTTTCTACCTTGTTTTCTTTTGTAATTCTAAAAAATTTTCAATAAATATCATTATAAAAAACAACAACAAATCCCCGCAACGGGGTGAGCGCCTGTTGCTCGGTCCCGGCTCCTGCCAACCTAGCAGTTCGAAAGCACGTCAAAGTGCAAGTAGATAACTAGGCACCGTTCCAGCGGGAAGGTAAACGCCATTTCCGTGTGCTGCTCTGGTTCTCCAGAAGTGGCTTAGTCATGCTGGCCACATCACCCAGAAGCTGTACGCCAGCTCCCTCGGCCAGTAAAGTGAGATGAGCGCCGCAACCCCTTTACCTTTAATAGTAGTAGAACTGAACTATTGCAGCTTTCTCCAAATCTGCTAAGTCTCACCACCCTGGTCCATACTTCCCCATGTCCACATTCCTCCACATTAAAAACAAACAATGGTGGTCATGTGTATTTTTCAGAGTACAAATGAGAATCCATATAGATCTTTATAAGGGGCTATACACCCTTTGCTGGACAGGGATAGCTTGGCTGCTGTGAGTCTTGTGTTCGTACTCACACAATTGGACTCCTAATTCAGAACTCTGTCATGTGCTTTTCTCATCAGAACCAGACTAAAGCTGTAGATCATATCATTAAATCTGTTCGAAAAATTTGCTATACATTGGATGGGGTAGAGACTCCTGCAATTACAACATCTGTAAAGAAGCTAAGAAGAGCAGTTAACCTTCCAAGGAGTGTGAGTCCTGAGGTAATTGGTTTGCCATATTTTGTGGTGTGTACGTGCTTTGTGAGATATAAGGAACATTTAGTCCCATCCCCCGCATTACCTGCAGACAAGTTGATAGGGCAAATTTGGGAAAGACAGGTTTTGTTTCACTAGCCAAGAAGCATGGCGTGAGGTAAATGGAAAATGTTTCTTCTTATTTTTTTGATGAGGGGGGAGGGTTTTGGAGCATGGTGAATTTTGTCCTTCTGCAATTACAGCCTTTGAAGGGACTTGGGGCAGTGATAGTGATGACGTTCCTCCTCCCACATCCAATTCTGTACTTTTACAGTGGAGGATGAGAGGGCAGAGAGAACTGTGGCATTTACAGTAGGTGACAAGAAACCCATATTTTGCCTCTACAGAAGTAAAGAAAGAAAGAACTATTATGAAATTTTCATAGGATAGTTTTAACAATCGGTTGGATACCTGAATAACTTTCATTTATAGTATAGCGTAACCAAGGGTTTTCCACATATGTGAGGATTGTGTTTTCCATATGTTATTGCACAGGTGTCTTTAACATCTTCTGATGAGACTAGCAAGAATGCAGTTGGTAAGTACAAAACTTGCATCTAATTTTGTTTTTAATGTTTGTTTTAATGGTTACCTTCCTAAAGCAAAATGTTTTATTTTAGGTGCCTTGCAACTTGAAAACCCTCTGCAAACGAGCATAGATCAGCTGACCTCAGCAGTATATGCTCTTCTTCAACTCCACTTGAACTCGTGCAGCAGTCCCTTAAACACTCCAAAGATTCAGAAAAGCACTAAAGAAGCATGGACTGCCACAGAGCACCTCCAGTTCACAATATTTGCAGCTCACGGAATCCTTAGTAGCTGGGTCTCTGTGTGAGTAACTAAACCAAAACGCACCTTTTACCCCAGTGCGCACGCATCACAATGTTTTGATTCATCATAATGTTTGTCTCCCTTTTACAGTTATGAAAAATACTATTTGGTTTGTTCTCTTACCCACAATGGAAGAGATCTTTTCAAACCTGTGCAGTCCAAGAAGGTTGGCACTTACAAGAATTTCTTCTATTTGATTAAATGGGATGAATTGTAAGTGGTGGATTTTTTATTTATCTGACTCATAAAAATATTATGGTTTCTCTGAGCAGTAGTTATCACATCCCCTGAGATTGTTAATTAATGCTAGTGATTCCGTCAGACCACATAGTTAACAGTGTCTTTCATTTTCTATGCTCTGTCAGTGCATGAAATTCTGAATAGTTTACCAGGTCCTTCAGCATAATTTGCATAGAACCTCCCAACTTTTCAAGATAGAAATAACTAAAAATAAAATTGGTGTTGTTCTACTGTTCAGTTATTAATGTATTCAGCTGGTGAAGAAAACAAGAAAGGAAGCTTGCAAGCCCAGGTTCCATCCCCAGTATTGTCTTGGGGATCAAGCTGCTTCCCACACAATGGAAATTCCTATACAGAACTGGGAATTTCCTCATGTGGGAAACTATGAGGAATCCTGTGTGAAGCTGATGGCATATGAGACATGTGCATACAACCAAGTAGGCATGTGCTTTTTCCCAGATGGCAAACAATTTCTTACACAAAAGTGATGGATGTTGGAAATAGCCATCACCATATTAAAAGCATGGCTTTACAAAAGTCAGCTGATTATTCCTGTTCCATTTCTCATCATGCTTCTAATGACTCTGTTTCTTTGTCACTAATGTTTATAAATATTGCATGAAATATTTTGTCCATGTAAGAGGGGTTTCTGTTGAAGTATGGTGAGGGTTAGTGAGATTGCAATAGTGCAATTATCTACATTTAGTTGGCAATGGAGAATAAAGCATTGTTTTAGCAATGGGGGAACTACGTATTGATCTTCTTGAACATATGATATATTTTTAAATCATAGTTGTCAGTAATTCCTAACGATTCTATTTCTTTATTTTACAGAATAATTTTTCCTATACAGATCTCTCAGTTGCCATTAGAATCCATCTTATGCCTTACCCTCTTTGGAATATTAAATCAAAATGGTGGTAGTTCACCAGATTCCAATAAACAGAGAAAAGGCCCTGAAATGTTGGGTCAAGTTTCCTTACCTCTTTTTGATTTTAGGCGGTGAGTATTCAAAATGTCTTCTGTGGCAAATAGTATAGTTTTGTTAGAGGGAGGTTACCAATTTTAATCCAAAGAAAATAGAATTGAACCTAAGAAAATGGAAAGAGAAATGCATTATATAGGTGGGATGGGCTCTAGATAACAGCCACCTCCTATTTTGAATAATATGTTTTAAATATGTTTATTCTTTCAAGGGGTGGAGTGATAGGCTGGCTCCATGTTAAGGATTGTGATACTTTTGAATACTGAGTGGTGTTGACTACAGTCCTGCTTATGGACTTCTTAAATCCCTAATTCATAAGATTTCAGCTATTAAGGTTTTATCACTCTAGAAATTCCACTACTTGTACGAAATTCTCTAGGTTCCCAGTACATTGTGCAGCCAAATGTAGTTGGAAAGCAGTTCCCATCATCCTTGACCATTGGCCATGGTGGCTAAGGTTAATAGGTGTTGGGGCCCTCCAGATGTTGTTGGTACTATATGTTAGCAGCCCCAGAGTGAACTTAAGGAATACTGCAGGTACAGCCTTTTTTCAAGAACACAGAACACAGTCAAATGGGTTGTCATCCTCCACTTGCTAGAAGGCAGGAAAAAACATTACCACTTCAAAATAACCTGTAGATTACTCCTGTCTTGGAGTGGCAGGATTTTGCTGGTGCTCTTCTGGCCTAGTCTTTTCTGGCTCATTGTGTGTGCGATCTGTGTGATATTCTGAGTGTAGTGAGTGATTCTCTGTTGTTGTCCCCCCACCCCACTCCACCCCCTGAGGCCTTTTCCTCAGCATTTGTGTCTTTCATTCTGAGCCATTTCCCCCTCAGTGACTGTCTTTCTTTGTTTTTTCATTAATTATACAGTTGATTCTTCTCTCCCTTCCAATTAATTCTTTCCTTTGTCACCAAATTGTACAGTTGATTATCTATTGCCTTAAACCCCAAGTTGGGGGCTTCCTTACTTATTAATTGTATTTTTCTTACCTGGGTTCAGCCTTCAATTCCTTCCTTTAATTATCCCTCCTGAATTAATTCAGTTTTACTCTTGAATGTGTGCATGAAGCAGCAGCATTGTCACTATGAGCATCTTGCACGACTGTGGTCTTCTCTAAGGTAGCTGTCCTGACGGATGGGCGACATCCTCAACAATTCCACTCTAAGATGTAGATTGCCTTCATAAAACATCTCTCAACTTCTTTAAGGTTGCTGTGTTTGTGGCAGATGGATCTGTGGACACAGCCCATTTGTGTCTCATGCTATGGCAGCAGAAATAGTATCAAGACGCATTGTGTGAGGAAACTGATCCCAACTAGACTGATCTTAGCAACAGATTCTTTTGATGGCAGGGAGCTTGTGGGAGATGACAATTCATTAGGTGACATTTTCATGGAGATGGATAAAAAGAAGGCAGTGCCATAAGAGGGAGGATAAGTCTCCTTTTTGGTGCTTCCATCCTTGTCAGACTTTTCATGCCTCCTGTTTTGCTTGCAAAGGTCATGAATTTTGATCAAATATGCTACTAAAGATTTCAATCCAGAGGTCCACAGTGCTCAGGACTTCTGAAAATTACCTTTATAAGCATATGGAAAATTATCTTTATAAGTTTGCTGATGCTGAAGTATATGAATCAGGTCTGAGATGATTCTATGAAAAAAAAAATTTTTTTCTTCCTAGTAATAACTGCTTAAGTTGGCTCTTTATTTGATTTAACAAGCAAATTCTGTCCTCACATTCCAACTGCTATCATTTTGTAACTGATAGTTCTTTCTCTGCACAGAGCACTAAATTCTTCTTGGTTTTGTGTCCGTAGAATGTTGACTTGTGGAACAAAACTTTTACACATTTGGACACCTCCCACAAACCTTGTCCCTGGAGCGGTCCATAAAAAAGGAAATTTAATGGAAAGAATAGTATTGCAGGTAATGCTAGTTCCCTCTTAATTGCTTTTAAAAGCTTTTATACCCTATGCAGAATTATTTGAGTAGTAATAAATGATCCCTTCACAATCTCATCTTCTTTAATCCACTATGAAAATTTGAGTGCTGTATCTCGTCATTACTTGGACTCTTTTTGCAAAACTGTGAGAGGATATATCTGGCCTTTTTCTGCTTTAGCCTTTTTGTATATGGCTGTGCAGTCCATGCACATACAAAAGAGTAAAATAACTGCAGAGTGATGAAGAAATATGAAAACTTCTGTGACGTAGTTTGCCTTGAGGGTTTAGACTTAAAGATCTCTGTCTGAGGGATTTGCACATTACAAGTTCTTATACATACAACCCTTTTTTTGTGCAAGGATGAGTGTTTAATGCAGTTTAACAGACCATTTTATCATCCTGATAAGCATGCTGGGAAATGATTGCAAGGATCACATTCTCAGTATGCTGTAACTGCAAAAATATACATAGATCCTTGTACTTGAGTATGGACCTTTGCATCCCAAAGTGGTGATGCATGATGTCTAGCCTATACATACAATGTAATGAGATGGTGTGGTAGAGGGAGACTGTAGTACTTCAAACTGCTGGCAGCCATAATACTTTTGAATGTGCTCCTATGTAAATAAAAAATTAACAGAAAGTTAGAACCTCTCTTCCTAGTACTTCAGTTACTTGTAATAACTTCTAGGGAACATTTTAAAATGGGCTTCTCTACTTGTAACTTCATTTGGTCGATTTTGCATTCTAGGTCCGCTTTGCACATCACAGTAAAGCTATTTTTAATTGTCTGGGCACATAACACCAATCCTGGCCTGACTGCACTGGCTGCCAATTAGTTTCCAGGCCTAATTCAAAGTGCTGGTTTTGGCCTACAGAGCCTTATGCAGCTCAGGACCACAATACCTCAAGGATTGCCTCTTCCCATATAAACTGATCCAGACCCTGCTGTGAGGCCTTTTTTCATGGTCTCCCTCCTTGGGAGGTCTGGAGGGTGGCAATATGAGAACAGGATTATTCAGTGGTGGCTCTCACTTGTGGAATGCTCTCCCCAGGATGCCCTGCCTGGTGCCATCATTACATAGATTTAGGCACTAGGCATTTCTTTTTACCAGGCCTTTGGCTCTTAATTATCTGTGGTGTCCTTGAGTGGGTGGGGCATTTTAATCCAGTGTTTTAAAAATAGTTTGTCTTTGAGATTCCCCCCATGCCAGTTTTAAAGTAAATATTTGTTTATATATTGTAAGTCACATTTTGCAATGACAAGCGTCATATGGAAACTTTATTATTATATACTATATGTATTATTTGTGAGAACACTTCACGCTAAATGATCTTTTTGATCTTTATGGTCTGTGGCTTTGATGTTTTGTTATTTTATTGTGAGGGGAAAGAGGACAAAAAGTGGGTGCTGGAAATGAGGTTGTAATTGGGATGTAGAAGTAGTTCTCTGAGTTGCCATGTCATAGTTTGCGTCAATAATTTTACTTTTTAAATTTTTCAGATTGATTTCCCTTCCTTATCATTTGATATTGTATACAAAATTCCTCAAGCTGCAAACAGTACCACATGTCATTCCATAGAAACATTGGAAAAAGATTCAAGAGAGCGTCTTCTTTCCATTCTTTCCAAGGAGGGTACACTTGGGTATGTTGTATTGCGTTAAGCGTGGCTAGTCATCATGGTGCCCTCCAAATATTTTGGACTTCATATCTCATCAGCTTCAGTTAGGACAGCCAATGTTCAGAGATTATGGGAGTTTTAATCCACAATATCTGAAGGACTTCACTTTGGTTTTCCTTAATATTAAGAGTACTGGTTTGCCTTTCTACATAATTATCCTACAGTCACCTTTTAATTTAATATACATGTTCAAAATGTTGCACTTTATTAGGTGTTGAGTTTCTCCTTCTTCTAGTTTACAAGTCCTGACAAAATTATCTTCATGTAGATATAGATGCAGAACAATACTGTATTTCCACACATTTGAATCTAATGTCTAAATCTTTCCTCTTTTGTGTGCGAGACAACTTGAAACCTGACATTCTTTACAGAAAATACTCATCAGAATACCATAAAGCATGCTGCCCATCTGTATATTGCCATATATGACAATCATCCCTGCATTTATTTTTGTTTTTTATACAGCTTGTATTTTGACTGGATTTTTTGTGATCTGGGGAAATCTTGTCTTTTTATGGTCCTGTTTGCATGAAATAAGTGGCAAAAAGTTGGGAGATAGTTGTTAGTGCCTCCCTGAAGGAAACTTGTTTCTTGTCCATTTGAAGTGAGGGGTGATTTACCTTTTTATGTCAATATGTGTAGATTGTGTTGATCCTGATTAGACACATCACAATTATTCCCTTTTTAGGGAAGCTGACTGAAGATGTCATCACAGTACAGTGGTACCTCGGGTTAAGTACTTAATTTGTTCTGGAGGTCCCTTCTTAACCTGAAACTGTTCTTAACCAGAAGCACCGCTTTAGCTAATTGGGCCTCCAGCTGCTGCCGCGCTGCTGGAGCACAATTTCTGTTCTCATCCTGAAGCAAAGTTCTTAACCCAAGGTACTATTTCTGGGTTAGTGAAGTCTGTAACCTGAAGCGTCTGTAACCCAAGGTACCACTGCATATTTCTAGGCGTTGCAGATTCAGGTGTCTTTTCAGTATTTCAGTAATCTCTGTCCAGAGGTCAACATGTTAAATATTTCCCTGTTGATTATCCTGGACCTCAAAGCTCCTCCTTTTAACCTTTTTGGGTCTGCAGAACCTGTTGACTCTTAGTACCACAGAATAATACAGTCGTACCTCAGGTTACATACGCTTCAGGTTACAGACTCCGCTAACCCAGAAATAGTGCTTCAGATTAAGAACTTTGCTTCAGGATGAGAACAGAAATCGGGCTCCGGCAGTGCGGCGGCAGCAGGAGGCCCCATTAGCTAAAGTGGTGTTTCAGGTTAAGAACAGTTTCAGGTTAAGAACAAAACTCCGGAACGAATTAAGTACTTAACCCGAGGTACCACTGTAGAAGGGTCATTCCATGTCAAATGATCCAGGGACTTTTACCTTACAATTTCATATTGCTTTCATTTCCAGTTTCCTAAAAGTAGTATAAGAGAAGCTACCTGATCTCAGTTTTTAATTTTTTATTTCATCCTGTTTTTGAGTTATGAGGGTTTGAAATTTCAAAAAATTGACAATTTTGATCTTGCTGGACTACATAAAAACCTTAAAATCTCAGCCCAGGACTGAAACCCACCTTACCCATGATGTCAAGGCCAGGGCTTGGGCAAAGCCCACTTAAGCAGTTTCCAAAGTTCTGTTGGGAGCCTTTGAAATGCTTCACAGAGTAGGGTGCAAAGGATGGCAATCCTGTTGGGTTATGTGTGTGTTCCTGGTCTGGGTGTCCCACCCCCCCATTCATTTCAAGACTTTTCTCCTTTGAGTTTGGGACTTCAAAGCAGCAAATCCCCTGACTTCATTTGTGACATCACGTGGTTGTCAAATTTGACCCGTGAGGCAGATCCTAATAATGATACGGCCTTTGGAGTCAAAAGTGTTGCCAGGGACTGGAAAAAATGGAACCTCTGCTGCAGTGGATCTTATCTCTGACTAAACATAGGGATATAATAAGGTTTACTTGCCGACTTTTTATGGGGAATACAGTACTTTTTAGCAGTATATGGAACAACCATTTTAATTTCATTTGTGACAGAGTGTGGAAAGCAATGGTACATCAGCACTAAAGTCTCCTAGCATGAATTCAACTCAAAAGCCATGCTTTAACATTCTGGCTATAGCAGCCTTTTTCCTGCTTGGGCCTTTTGCAACAGTAGAGTATAATATTGTGTTCTGCATGTCCTAAACTTTGCAGCTGTTTTCTTCCCAAGGGGCATGCATTAATGACCGCTGTGATAACCATAAATATATTGTCATGAACTAATAAAAACGTTTTGTCTTTCTTTCTTTCTTTCTTTCTTTCTTTCTTTCTTTCTTTTGTTCTTTCGCTCTTTCGTTCTTTCTGTAGATTGTCTAGAAAGGATAAAGCATTTTTGTGGGAGAAGAGACATTATTGCCATACAGAGCCAAGCAGCCTTCCAAAGATATTAGCCAGCGCACCAAACTGGGATATGACAAATCTGTCTGAAATATATTTGCTGCTTCAGCAGTGGCCTCCCTTACCTCCTCTGACTGCATTAGAATTGCTGGACTCCAAGTAAGTAACAAGTTCTGAACTATGTTGTGCTATTCTCTTCTTCAAGTGAGAAGTGCAAGTCACATTCATAATTCATTAACTTACTGTTTGCTGCTGTTTGCAGCCACACAATTGTGTCCTTGGAGATTGCAGATGATTACATGTGCATCTTGCAAGGCTTGGGGTTATAAATTGCTATTTTTTTTAGTAGGCTTGTAGCCTGATTACGGTGGTGCTGTGCCAGTACATAAGTGGGATGGAACATGGTAGTCACCTCACCAGAACATTACAGTGTTAATGTTGACATTGGAAGAATGTTACATAGTTTTGCAGGCGGATTCACAATTAGGAATATCCCTTATTGGTACAATCAAGTGTCTTTCCTGTTGTGTTCTACTGTATGTACTGATTTAGAGAGTCACAGAATGACAGTGCATTCTGAGAAACATTTCAACAGTCCCCATATGGAGGCGAGGCTGCAAATTCTCAAGACAATTTTCTTTGTTCCCCTGCAAATTATAGCACATTTTATATATACCGAGAACTGGTTTAGATTCCTCATTAATAAAAATAATTATTTATTCCAAAAACCACCAGGGAAGTATGCTCTTGTCAAAGTTAAACGAAACACTGTTTGTTACAGATGTTATGCTTTGTAGCTTTGCAGATCAGGAAGTAAGAACAAGAGCTGTGCAGTGGATTGAGGCAATTAGTGATGATGAACTTGCTGACTTTCTTCCCCAGTTTGTGCAGGTGAGATGAATGACACATTTAAATATCTTGAAAGCGAAGGGGCAGGGAACTTGGCATTTACTAATTGCACACAAAAAATATGGATCATTTTGACGTTTTGAAAGTGTAGCATTTAGATACAGTGTTATTTAGTCCAATAAATTCAAACTATGGTTTGTAATTTACCTGGTGTGATTGGCAGTTGCTTTTAAAAGACAAACTGGACCTCCCTCCTTTTTCCCTAACCATTTCCATGCATTCCTGGTTGCTTTTGCTACCCCTTTAATATAGACACCCTCCTTCCTTCTTGGCAAGGGCCAGAGAGAAGGGAATACTGAAGGATTAATACCAGGCAAGGCTGTGTGCATACAATACTGGAGAAATATTTCCAAGGCTGCAATGGAACTCAGTTCTTTGGTTCCTATCTAAAATGATGATAGTGAGCCTGCCCAAATGCTAAGATCATTTGAGACTATTTTCAGTGCCTCCTCCCCACAGCTTCTGAAATTAGGCAGGCAGTGACTGAAGAGAAGCCTTTTCCATCTGTGACACCCCACATGTGAAATGTCCAGGGAAGCTTTCCTGGTGCCAGATGAAAACTTTTTAATTTGCTTAGGCCCATCATCATATAATTAAAAGCAGTTAATTGTTGCTGATCACAGATTTTATTGCGTATGCTAGTTGTTGATTGCCCATTTGCTTATAAGCCAGTATAAATTTTGATTTATATTTAAAATTCGTGTTTTGTAAGTAGTTCTATTTTTCATTGTTATGGGAGGTGTCCAACAAAAGGGCAGATATTCTAAATAAGTACATATTTTCTGAATGAATAGTAATTTAATCTGTGCTGAATAGCTTAACATACCCAGGAATATGGTTATGGGAATAGTTTCCCCCTTAAAATATCTGTAAAACTACATGTGTCTGGTTGTAGTAAGCCACCTACAGTTGTGTTCACTGAGTATTACAACTATATTTTATACTAGTTCACTGTAGCCCCTCAAATAGACAGCTGCTTTAATAACTATGTTGGTTAAAACTTGATCTCTCTTATATATTTAGGCACTAAAATTTGAGACCTATCTGGACAACGCTCTAGTCAGATTCCTTTTGGCCCGAGCATTAGGAAATATTCGAATAGCACACTATTTATATTGGTAAGAAGATCTACATTCTTTTTGTTATCAGATTTTTGTTCTAAGATTTTATATTCCCAGACTTTAGCTAGTCTGAGAATATAAAGTATATTATTATTATTATAGATCACAGTTCCTTATAGCGTAGAAAAATATCTGCTGCCACCACTGGAAATATTTTTAATTACGTGTTCTGAAAAACCAGGAGTGTACTTACTTTATGATGTCCTGGGCTGCTTCTTTCTTTTCCAGCAGGCTAACTTATATTGTAAAGTACCACATTTTACATCAGCCTTTTTCATACTAGTGCAGTTAATTCATCATTCTGTATCCTAAGCAAGATGATGCTTCATAATGAAAACCCACGTACAAAGGGTAACAAAATGATAACACCAATTTGACGTCAAATGTAATGTTCCACTACAAATGTAGTGGAAGTAGCGTGGCCCTAACCCTGAGATGAAAAGTAGTTTATCTATAACACTTTCTCTAAAGTTCCTTGATAGGAGTCTTCTGTGGAAGCTGAAAACCCTTTTCTGCAGTACTAGAGAGAGCATCTTAACTCTTAATTCACATTTCCTTGCCTAATCCATGGCATGTTTACTCTGGTGTAATTCCCACTGCCTACACTGAGGCTTACTTCCTTGTATTTAGGATTGTAGCCTCTCTCCCTTCACACCTTTTCTTGCATTGCTTGTGTTGTATGTGTCAACTAATACTGTGTTCTGTGGCACTTTATAATCTAGTTACTGCAGCAGGAAATTTAGTAGCCTATGGAGGGTGTGTGTGTGCAGTTTGTGAAGAAAACTAATCTAATATTACGTAATATTTCAGGTTACTGAAGGATGCCTTGCATGATATCAAACATGGTGTAAGGTATGAGCATATCCTTGGTGCCTTCCTTTCAGTCTGTGGCAAAGGATTGAGAGAAGAGTTGGAAAAGCAGACAAAATTGGTACAGATTCTGGGAACCGTAGCAGAAAAAGTAAAACAAGCAAGTGGATCTTCCAGACAGGTTTGTTACATTAGGAATATATATTTGTATGTGTATTGCTAATTAAAATCACTTCTCAATCCAGGTAAATTTTAACCTTGTACTGTTCATTAACAGATTGTCTTACAAAGCGGAATGGAACGTGTTCAGTCCATTTTCTTAAAAAACAAATGCCGTTTGCCTCTCAGTCCCAGCCTTGTAGCTAAAGAACTGAATGTCAAGGTATGGTGTGTCTCTAGACTTCTAATCCAGTATAATATGTATGTGCTCACATCTAGTATACATGCAAGAATAACCAGCAGGAAAGAGCAAAACTGCTTGGCGGGCATAGGGCAAATGACTTGAAACTGTAAATGATTAAAACCATTGTTGGATGAGACGAAAGGTCAATCAGTCCAGTTTCTAATATTAGCCAGACAAGTCCCTCTGGGAAGTTCACAGTATGGCATGAAGTCAAGCACTCCTCCCTTTATCTCCCTAGGATATGACACTTGGAATCATGTTGCCTCTGTATATGGAAGTTCCAGTAATAACCAGAAGACAGAACCTAAAATTCTCTGTATGGGAATTTTCGACACAGATTTTGAAAGTGCTAAAGAAAATAAGACCACCGTAATTAGAAATACGCATACAGTTTTTGCATAATCTCATCTTGACTTCAGTGCTTTGTGAAATTTGAAGACAAATACAGTCATACCTTGGAAGTCGAACCGAATCCGTTCTGGAAGTCTGTTTGACTTCCAAAACATTTGGGAACCAAGGTGCAGCTTCCAAGGCAGGAAGCTCCTGCAGCCAACCAGAAGCCGCGATGGATGTTCAGGTTCCAAAGAACGTTCGCAAACCGGAACAATAACTTCCAGGTTTGCGGTGTTGGGGAACCAAAATGTTTGTCTCACAAGGCGTTCAACTTCCAAGGTACGACTGTACTGAGGTACCATTGTACTAAACTGTCAAATAAATTTGCGTAGATGCACAGCTGTAGGAAGAAACAGGAAGTTGTTGAAGCCATATTCCTTTGCATGTCCCCGCCCCCCATGCATTCATGAGCGTGGGATAAATCTTATTTTTTTTTAAAAAAAGGATACATTGCTAATAAGATACAAAATAAGTAACAATAAAAGGAGGGAGAATGAACAATATAGATAAATGTGTATAGTAAATGCAAGCAGATTTTTTATTTAAAAAGCTTTATAATACTGTTGGAACATACTTTGCTATTTTTATAATGAGGCACTAGGGTTAGATGATACAATGCAAATCTCTGTAAATCTGTCATCCTCACTTCATCAATATGGCCATGAGAAATAACAAAAAGATATTGCTTTTAAGTTGAGCTTCTGTATCCTTTGTGGTTCCCTTGTTTGCTAGTTTAGCGAAATTAATTATAATATTTTCTTGTAAGGATTGCTGGAGCTCTTTGGTTGCCTCTGTATTGCTAGTTAGTCTACTGTTGCAGTAATTAAAGTAAATTGTATTTTGCAGGCATGTTCCTACTTCAGTTCTAATGCAGTACCTCTTAAACTTGCTCTGGTGAATGCAGATCCCTTGGGAGAAGAAATTAATGTCATGTTTAAGGTACATTTTTTCAGCATGTGTTTGACAGACATATTTTTGTGGTAACAAAAATTTGATAAATCTTTTAAAACTAGTTAACTTTATGATACATACCTATGGCATGTATGGCTTTGCAGTAAAGTAATTGGGTGGGGGGTACCAATACAGCTACTTGCCAAGCGACCCTAGGTATGCCTCTGAAGGAGCTATAGATGGCAACGAAGCCCTGAGCACAGAATGCTGTTCTCTGAGTTTTTGAGGTTTTTCCAGGCCTTTCCCATTCATCTTCAAATAAGAAGTACTGAATTTTCTAGCCAAACATCCATTTCTGGTCATGTGCAGAAACGTAGTTGACTATACACACCCCAGCTTATGACACATGTCCTGTTGAAAGTCACTCTCTCTATTTGCATCCTTACTTTTGTTCTAGGTTGGAGAGGATCTGCGTCAAGACATGTTGGCGCTGCAAATGATAAAAATTATGGACAAGATCTGGTTACAGGAAGGACTGGACCTGCGGATGGTTATCTTCAAGTGCCTTTCAACTGGCAAAGATAGAGGTGCAAAGCGTTCGTAGTTCCCAGAGCATAATGCCTTCCATGCCATCTAGAGTTTGGTCTGCTTTTCGTGTCTGTTCCCAGTGGGAACACAGCTTTAGCATGATTGCTCTAAAGCCTCTGCCTCAAAAGTATGTCTGCATTTGCAGAGCAAGCTAGAGGAGCACCTTGCAAGTGTAGTAGTAGCATCTTTGGGGGATGACATAGACAGAGCTATCTGATATAAAGCACCCTCCTGCAGTTTCAGCTGTGTCTGAAATCAGTTGGATAAAGTGTTAACATGGATGTAAAGGAAATTCTATCCCATATGAAGAAATCTCAAATATATGATTGGAGAGGAGAGCTAAAAATTGTAAGGATTCTGCTGCTAGCAACTTCTAAGTCTAAAACTGTTAACGTCTTTTTGGTTATCTAAAAAGTATTGATTTGATTTAAAGATCAATTTGAATGAGCACGGGTACAAATATTTCATGTCATGCAACATTATTTGTCAGCAAGCACTTTGGATTCACAGAAGTATTTCTTTAAAATGTTTGAAGTTAAGACTTAATTTAATCCATTATAGAAATAGAGTAAAAATCCTGTATGCCTGACAGTAAATATTTTTTTGCTTATTGGATTTAAGGTTTGGTGGAGCTTGTTCCAGCTTCAGATACACTTAGGAAAATTCAAGTAGAGTATGGAGTGACAGGGTCCTTTAAAGATAAGCCCCTTGCAGAATGGCTAAGAAAATACAACCCTACAGAAGAAGAATATGAAAAGGTAACTTTAATATGAAACTGATGCTGGGAAAACGCACATGGAGCCAGGCCACCTCTCCTCCTCCCTGCCCCCTGACTTTTCCTTTGCACACCAAGGATTACTGTCTGAGTCCTGCTTCCCTCTTTCCTTAAAAGAGCCCTACTGTGTCAGTTTATCTAGTTCAGCAACCTGCTTCTTGCAGTGGATAGTCAGATGGCTTTATGTTTTTCATAAACTTTCCATTGTTTTAAAGTATATTTTATGTAACCCATTCTGAAGACCATTCAGTGAGCGGGAGGCTATAAGTAAATATGGCTTCAGAACATGAACTGATTATGATATGTAAACTGCCCTGTGATGTTTGGATGAAGGTACACACACACACGTTATGAGATGTAGAGTAATCGTTGTTATTGAGAAAAGGGCATAGCTCAGTGGGAGGGCACATATATTGCATCTATAAAGTCCAGCTTCACCCTCTGACATCAGAAGCAGAGATAATGACGTTGATGTTTAGATCCTAGAAAATAGCTTCTGTCTGAACTAGGTGGACAAGGATGTTACTTAAGGCAAGCTTTATTTTCTTGGGGGGGAAATGGTTAGTAGGCTTAGCTTAATTTTTAAATATAAGATGCTAAATATTTATTCTAGCATTTGTTTATTTTAAAAGGAAACTCTTCTATTGTGCCTTGGGGTGGTCACTTCAGTGCTGCTAATGCAGCAGTTTGACTTCACCCCCAGAGGCACATTCCATTGTCTCTCGAGACAGATGGATGCCAACCAACTAACCAGCCAGATTCTGTTGTGATGTTTAGAAACTCCTGTTGAAGTACATAACAGTTTTTTTAAAGCAAATATTACATATTAGAAAGAAAAGGAAGATCTACAGTAACTTTATTACTATATTACTTTGATACTTTTTATTCAAATTTTAGTGCAATTTTTTTGTTACACTTCCTAATTGCGCATGTTTCCTATTAATTTGTAGAAGCCATTTTACTGTGTGCCTTAATACGTTTTTAACTCTTCAGGTTTTCTCTCCCCTAACTCTTCTTAACACTGCTAAAACCTACTTGCAACACCTGGCACAAGATGGTGCTTACTCTTTTCCAGTTGATCATATTACCCAATTAACTTCTCAAAAATTAAGCAAAACTTAATACAATCCTTAAAAGTCCCTAATTATGTTCTATTTGAGTGATTGGCAGTTCTGCTACCACACTTGACTTATGTATGATAAACCACAGTAGTATTCTCCAAGTAGTAAATTAGTAGTAAATTAGATTGAATCTAACTTAACATTTATTTTTCCTTTTACTAGGCTTCTGAAAACTTCATATATTCTTGTGCTGGGTGTTGCGTGGCCACCTATGTCCTAGGTATCTGTGACCGTCACAATGACAACATCATGCTTCGAAGTACAGGACATACATTCCATATTGATTTTGGAAAGTTTTTGGGCCATGCACAGATGTTTGGGAGCTTTAAGAGGTATGATTTCAAAGTAAAATTTGAGGCTTCACTATACAGCTAACTTTACAGCTATAGTAATGAATGGTCTTGAAAAGATCGATAGCTTTCTGTGGCAGTATGCTCTGTTAGCTGTAACTTTTCTTCCAAAATAATGTTAAATATGACAGTGTATGATTGCCATACAGACTCTGCATCTGATAAATAGAGCTACATTGATCTTATTTCGACCTATGAAAATATACAAAGAAGGGAAGCGGGCTGTGGGCCACTGATACACTCTGAACCATTTGCTTACAGCAGTTGCTTCCTTCTCCATTTTGCACAATTTGCAGAGTTCCTGTGAAATTCCCTCACGTTAGAAGTTTAGAAAATGAAATTTCAGTACTTAAAAATCTGTATTTAATTTATCTCTTCTTTCTAAAGGGATCGGGCTCCTTTTGTGCTGACATCAGATATGGCCTACGTTATCAACGGTGGTGAAAAACCTACCATCCGTTTCCAGTTGTTCGTAGATCTCTGCTGCCAGGCTTATAACTTGATAAGGAAACGAGCCAACCTTTTTCTTAACCTCCTATCACTGGTAATAGTTTTTGTATTGTAGGAGGTTTCACCAAATAAGGCAAGAGGCTTCCTCTCCTCCTGCAACCTCTGTTCCAGACTGTCCCTCAATCTTCAGAGCATATTTTGGAAAAGGGGGTGCAGGATGCTGAAGCAGAGAGGAGAGGATGGGGAAGTTCTGTTTCTGGGAGGGGAAGTCAGTTGTGCAAGTGGGCTTGTAACCCTTGGATGTTTTCAAGTGAATGGTTCTTGTGCTTAAAGACAACTACGTAGTGTTAAGTGCAGGAAACTGCATATTAAATTTATGTCATAATGACTGCAGTAATAAAATCTGGAAATGCTATTTTAAAATATAGTACTGGTTTGGTTTGGTTTGGTTTGGTTTGGTTTGGTTTGGTTTGGTTTGGTTTGGCTGTACCAGTGAATATTTGATCTTCTCCATTTTTAAAACATATCTGTTCACTCTATAGATGCTCTCTTCTGGATTACCAGAACTTACTGGAGTTCAAGACTTGAAATATGTCCAGGATGCTCTTCAACCCCAAACTACAGATGCTGAAGCTACAATTTTCTTTACAAGGTACCACTTTTTCTTTTCTTTTTACAAAAACCTTATTTATGCATGTTCATCAGTTTTAATAAAGTAGGTGTGATCAATTCTGTGATCTATGAAAATAGTTTTCCTTTTTACTCCAATTAAGCAAATGTACTGTACATCTCAAAGGCAATGAACATGATCTGATTCCTCCCCACTTTTTTGTTTTTTAGGTTGATTGAATCAAGTTTGGGAAGTGTTGCCACAAAGTTCAATTTTTTCATTCACAACCTTGCTCAGCTGCGTTTTTCAGGCCTGCCTTCCAATGATGAGCCCATCCTCTCTTTTTCTCCCAAAACATACTCGCTTAAACAAGATGGTCGTATCAAAGAAGTGTCTGTCTTTACATACCATAAGCGATACAACCCAGATAAATATTATGTAAGTATGTGGATCCATACTGTGTCTTAAGATTTCCAGGTTTTGCCATTTTTCATTTTATTATTGGTGCAACGTGCAAAGTCCTGAAGCTGTTGCTTCTCCACAAATATTGCCTATGTATTATCTTGGAACTTGACATCAGGTTCATCAAGACATTTAACTGTGGGGTGAAAGAAGTAGTTTGTTACTTTATTAAGAAGGGTTCCAGCCAGAGAGGCAGTTGGCCATGGAGAAGCTCCCTTCATTCCATAACGGGATAGACTCTGAAATCCTGAATGTGTGTGTGTTCTTTTGCCTTGCATGCTTCTGCAGATCAGGAAGCCATGGCCAGTTCCTGTCTGCCATCATTCAGTGTTTATATAACAGCTTAGCAATACTATTTCAACAGCTCAGGATCCCAGGTTATGATCAGTCTGAATTGCATTGTCCACAAATCTAAGTGCCAAGCTTTAATTCCACAATCTAACATTACAAGGGAAGCATATTTCCAGGATAGTGTCATACAGTAGAAAATGAATTCTGTAAATGTTGGGTGGGCCTGCTCTGCTTTTTTGGCTTCCTGTTCATATACATAGTGTGCGCACACACCCTGTCACAGCAAACATAAAACCAATGTAACCTTGAAAATAGCTTGCAGCCTGTCACTGCTGCTTTTCTCATTAATGAAACTCCGCTTTCCTGCCCTCTTGTGTAAGAGCTTTGAGGACCTATAATTCTGAGGAAGAAACCTGTATACACACTTGCAACACCTGGTACTGAAATTATTATTGTTCTTTTTGTGTATTTACATGCTTGACACAATGACATTCTGTCTTTGCTTTCTTTTGTTGGATGATGGGAAATAGATAAAATGAAGAATTTATGTGTGTGTGTTTTTAAAAGTTATTAAAGTGTGTTCCTTTCTGATTTGGCAGATCTATGTTGTCAGGGTTTTAAGAGAGGGGCAAAATGAACCCACGTTCATTTTTCGGACATTTGATGAATTCCAGGAATTCCACAACAAGCTTGGCATCCTATTTCCTCTTTGGAAGTTACCAGGGTAGGTTCCTAAAACTCAATTAAATATAAACAAAGTAATTTGAAATCCACTGAGCTTTCATGTTTTGCAACAATTAAATTTTCTCAGTAACATTAAAAAGTGGACATAGCAATAGTTCAATGTGTAATATCTATGCTATGCCATGCTATGCCCATCAGCCATAGCCTTTCCTGTGAACTGAGGCTCACTTCCTGGGATTATACACAAGTGAAGTGTGAAAGTTAACCTTTTATGAAATACATTTCCCCATGTATGCAGTACTCTTAAATTCCAGGAGCTAGGCTGTGAGTATACAACACTTTGTTGTAACTGGCTCTGAAGGAAAGTATCAAAGAAGGATACAGAACAGTCACTGTAGTTCCATAGCCCTAAAGCCTTCATTTATTTCAGTATCTCCTTAAGTTCTGTTGAGCTTTTTACTTTTTGTAAAAGTAGTAGTAGCTTCTCCCTGAAACAAACTGTATTTCACGACTCATTTTTTAATTGAGAAAAGAATATCATTTTAAATTAGTCTAAAATTCTGCCCGGGTCACAGACTGGTATACAGTTTTCTGCCATTCTTAAGGATATGGTGTGTCAGAATGACTCAAAGGATGTTATAGTAACATACTAAGGGTAACATGCAGTGCTGGTCATCCACCATTTATTTCAGCAGGTCGGCTCTGAATATGACATAGATGTCACACACAGAACTTTGCCTAGTAATAGCTATTAATTGTTGCTCAGTTCTCTTGAGTAATGCAGACACATGAGAATTTATTTTCTGTATTTGTCATTTCATTTCTGAAAGGGACTACAACAGTTGATGATGCTTGAGTATTTGCTTTCAGTGATTTTAGAAAAGGGAGAGGGTTCAGAAGGGTGGAAAATATTTCCTTGGAGCATGTGTGTTGCCATGTTACCTTATACTTGGAGTACTCTTGATATAGTAACAAATACTGGACAGCTGACAACAGTATAATTTGCAGTGTTCCTTCTGTTCTATTGTAAGATTGTCCAAGCTTTTGGACCAACTCATAGATTATACTAGTATCTTGTCTTACAGTCTTGGAAGTATTTGTTTACTTCAGCAAAAGCTAAATACTGATTGTTGCTACTTACTCTTGTTATTAATGTTGTGTTCATTGTGTCTATATTGCAGCTTTCCTAGTAAGATGGTTTTAGGAAGAACACACATAAAGGATGTAGCAGCCAAAAGGAAGGTGGAACTGAACAGCTACATACAAAGTTTAATGAATGCATCTGCAGATGTTTCGGAGGTAGTTCTACAAAGTAATATAAACATCATTGTTTTAATTCCTTTATGTTGGGTACAGTCACCTCATAATAACATTTTGTCTTTCCACATCTAGTGTGATCTTGTTTATACATTCTTCCATCCCATACTTCGTGATGAAAAAGCTGAAGGAATAGATGGAATAGCCAAGTGTACAGGTAAGAATATCACTTTTAAAGAAGAAAAGGCAACTTGGATCGTGTCCTGAAAAGTGAAAATATTTCTTGTAGTTACATTCTATCAAGCACAAAAAGGGAAATCATAAAGACAGGAGTACATATGTATTGAACTAGTTATTGAACATTTCAGTCATTCCTCCCCCACCCCCTAGTTTTTCCTAGCATACAAACCAATAATTCAAAATAACTTGAGTGTGAATAAAAATATTTACCTGTTTAAAGTGTCCTTGAAAGAGAATGTATCTCAAAACATTTACATTTGAGGGTTTCTTTTTCTATTTTAAAATACAAGTTCAATGATTTTGTGTGCTGGTTTTCTTCTCCCCTCCCCTTTTTTTGCTTCATTTCTTATTTCATATTGAATAGAAGAACCAGCAAATAGAATATATTTCAACAAATGTCACATTTCTCATTTTGCCAAAGAAGTCCACCCATGAATAAATGTCTCCCTTCTACACTCATCTGTAATTTAAGCTCTGTGGGAAATTGTCAAACCACAAACATATTGGTATAAAGTAGTGAAAGTTTTTGATGGAGAGGAGGTGAATTTGTTATCTAATAAAGTGTGTGTGATTTGTCCAGTGGGCTTTGTGCAGTTCACTCTATTTTGTCACTATCTCCTCAATAACAGTTTGTTGGATTCATCTCTGATAGTGTAACCTTATTAGACTTTACCGATTGGTGGGCTCTGCATTGCTCCCAGGAGGGAGGGAGGAAGTCAGATGACACCGAGGGTTGGTTCAGAGAAAGAGTTCTTTATTTCTGCTCTCCAGAACAGCAGAAGGGCACTCGCGTGGTCAGTCCACAGCAAGTCCAAAGAAATGAGAAATTTCATGCAGTATATATATCCTCCAGGCACCCTCTCCCTCTTCCCCAGGAATCCAACCACGTCAGCCTATACACGCAGGTTGACATTACATGTGTTCCTGCTCCGGTATTCTTAACAATAAAAGGGTTTTCCTTCCTGTACTTCTGACCATAAAAGGGTATTCCTGTTCCTACTCTTATCTTGGAGCAAGAGGTCACCAACTCCAAGAACACGCTCTGACGCTGTTCCCAGACTAGGTCTGTGCGTCAGTGTGGTCAGGACGTAAGATAAGACCTAGACGTGTCATCCCTGTTCTACTGGAACAACCAAGGTCATCCTTGCCGTCATGAACTGATAAAGGAGAGGGCTCTGAGCACTTGTTTATACAACCGGGTTTTTGTTTATACATTGACTCAGAGCTCGTTAATGGATTTTAGCTAAGGAAAAATAGGGATTTTGGTGCCTGTTTTAAACTGCCTTCACAGTCAGTTTTTGGTTTGGGAAACCCATTCCTTCAATAGTAATGTGATACAGTAGTGCCTCGCAAGACGAAATTAATCCATTCCGCGAGTCTCTTCGTCTTGTGGTTTTTTCGTCTTGCGAAGCGCGGCTTAGCGGCTATTAGCGGCTATTAACGGCTTAGCGGCTTAGCAGCTATTAACGGCTTGGCGGCTTTAAGAAAAAGGAAACAAACTCGCAAGACATTTTGTCTTGCGAAGCAAGCCCATAGGGATATTCGTCTTGCGGAACGACTCAAAAAACGGAAAACTCTTTCGTCTAGCGAGTTTTTCGTCTTGCGAGGCATTCGTCTTGCGGGGCACCACTGTATTACATGTTGTCATTTCAAGTAGTCAGAACTCCATAAACTGGCCTTTTCAGGATGACCAGTACTGATCACAGAGAGTGCTTTTCTCTCACATCCCAGTTACCCATGGTGCCACTCTCTGATAGCAGGGAATGATTTTCCCTCTGTGGGAAAAGGGAATGACAAGTGCACAGGTTAGATAACGTTCTGACTATGGATTGTAGAGGGAAATATCATTCTGCCTTTTCTTTTTTTAAGATGTGAGCCCTTCAAGTCCTACCTCGGGCAAAGTAGGAGGAGAAGTTAAACTATCTATCTCCTATAGAAACAGCACTCTGTTTATCATGGTGATGCACATTAAGGATCTGGTATGTACAAAACTGGAAAATGCATATGATAGTTCATAGTAGATTTTGGTGACAAGTAGTTTGCTCTTACCAATAGTTATTTCTAAGGGTATGATCCCTATGATAAAAATCCCTGTGTTATTTAAACAGCAACGCCAGTGTCTTACTTTATTTCAGTATGGTTGATGGTTGTTTCTTACATCAGAGATGTGCTCTCATTCTCAGGTGACTGATGATGGCACAGACCCAAATCCATATGTGAAAACATACCTGCTTCCGGACATACATAAAACCTCTAAACGGAAAACCAAGATATCACGGAAAACAAGAAATCCAACATTCAATGAAATGGTAAGCTGAAATAAGCTATGTATAATATTCGGTGGCTTTTCAAAGCAAATCCATGTTACATAGCTATAACTGATGGAACACATCAGTGGGCCCCCATTGAATTGCCCCAATGGGAGTAAGAAACATACTCTAAATCACATCTATCCTGCAGCTGCCATAACACATGCTGTATGAAACAGCTTAGGGCCAGAATATATATATGTCTGGCTGTACAATTTTCCAATTGCTTTTACATCCCAATATGCCTTAAGCTATTAAGAGAAGTCTACCACCTTTTCAGGGTGTTCGGTGTGGATCACAGAGAATGCTTTTCTCTCACATCCCAGTTAACCATGGTGCCACTCTCCAATAACAGGGAATGATTTCAAAAATTGGGAGGTTAGCTTTATCCTTGAAAGCACTGTATCCCTGTTTATGAATTCGGAGTGGGAGAGGAGAGCCTCTTCTAAAATATTTTCTTCAAGCAAGAATCCAGTGCCAGGATTTTTCCTGAAAATCTGCCTCTTTAAAAAAAATTATTCTCAGTCTTCTGAATGTTACAGTTAAAACAATGGAATATGAAATTGGGGGTGAAGGTAGGGAAGGAACTTTGCAAGTCCATTTTTAAAGCTTATTTTTACAAGCCTGTTTTCAGTAGATCAAATCACTGAGGTCTTAAACTGTACACACTTGGGGGAGTGGGTAAGCTCAATTTGGTTCACTGGTATTTACTTCTGAGTAGATAACCAAAAGGTTACAAAGGGCTTGTGCAGGCAATCTGGTGATCCTTGTACGTCCCTCTTCCTCTCTCCCTCCTGTCCCTCTACCCCAACAAATCTCTTCTGCCTAGGGGGTGGCAGACACTAGAAATACACCACTGCAACTGCATTTAAGCTAAGATGTTAGAATATTTGTGAACAATCCTTGACAGCAGAGCAAATAAGGCAATGACTAATTGAAGAATTTTTCATCTAATATAGGTGGGTGGGTATAGGTGGACATCTAAATCCATATATTCACAGCTGAATGAAGCATTCCAGATATATTTATGGATTAATCTAAGGGTGTGCCCACGATTACAGGTGTCCCCACATGACGATAATCTGTTGAGTGGGGATTTAAAATGAATGCAGACACTTGCTGTTGTAATCCCAGGGGATGCAGATGGGAAGTGTGTGCATGGAAATCAGGGACATGTAACTATGTTGACATTGTCGCTTTCCAACTTTCATCACTAATTAAACTATTGCCCTTCAAAGGGTAGGTGCTAGTTCAGGGAGTGGAATGTTTTGAAACATAAATTAGTGAGCATATTCCAGTATTTAATAAAAGGATTTAAAAAAACAACAACCCAACACCATTCCCACTCTAAATGAATGAAGGTCAAAAGAAATACACCAGGATCCGTTCCAGAGCCCTGTTTGCATCCTGAAGCGAATGTAACATGCACGCACAGGTCACATTTCGCTGCTTTCACGCATGCGCGTGACGTCATTTTTAGCGTCTGCGCATGCGCGAGCGATGAAACCTGGAAGTAACGCGCTCCATTACTTCCGGGTCGCCATGGAGTACAACCCCAAAATGCTTAACCTGAAGCGTATTCATCCCGAGGTATGACTGTACCTTAAAAACATACATTTGTGTTCAGGTACCAGCTGGTGGCGGGTACCAGCGGGTGGCGCTGTGGTCTAAACCACAGAGCCTAGGGCTTGCCAATCAGAAGGTCGGCGGTTCGAATTTCCGTAATGGGGTGAGCTCCCATTGCTCGGTCCCAGCTCCTGCCAACCTAGCCGTTCGAAAGCACATCAAAGTGAAAGTAGATAAATAGGTACCACTCCGGTGGTAAGGTAAACGGTGTTTCCGTGCACTGCTCTGGTTCACCAGAAGCGATTTAGTCATGCTGGCCACATGACCCAGAAGCTGTCTGCGGACAAACGCCTGCTCCCTTGGCCTATAGAGCGAGATGAGCGTGCAACCCCAGAGTCGTCCGCAACTGGACCTAACGGTCAGGGCTACCGTTACCTTTACCATATACCTATCTTCCATATGGCTGATTGAGGCAGAAGGTTACCTCAGTCACCCAGCAAATGGTAATAAGCCTAGGAGTAGAAAATAAAAGACGTATTCTATACAGGGTATTCTATACTTACTCACCATCAGTTTTTGTAACTTAATCCTGGATGTTTTGTAAATAAACTGTCTTGGCTTTCATTGTTTATGAATTACTGTGTGGTTTTTTTTTATATAGCTTGTATACAGTGGATATAGCAAAGAGACCCTAAAGCAAAGGGAACTTCAGCTAAGTGTACTCAGCGCTGAATCGCTGCGTGAGAACTTTTTCCTGGGCGGTGTCACACTCTCCTTAAAGGAATTTAACTTGAACAAGGAGACTGTCAACTGGTATCGACTTGCTGCTGTACCATATTTGTGAACCTGGCAGCTGAGAGAGGTGAAAATAAGAACAGAATTGAATAAACTCAACTTCACCCATATTTGGTCACTTTTTCCTACTTGAAGATAACTCACACACTTTAACATAAAACATGGCAATTTGGCAGATTGCTGTTGGACCAGCCTTCACAAAGTTTAAACAGGGCTTCTGGAAAACCAGCTCTGCTTCATGCTTTTACTGTAATAATATCCAAGCATTGCTGTAAATGAATTGTATAAATTTAATATCTGTGGATAATGAAGTTATAAACCTTGACTAGATGTTCCAAATTAAATCTAAGGGGTGTTTCTTTTTTAATTAAAAAAATAGATTAGATTCAGTCACATTTGAATTGTTTGCCTGTTGATACATTGGAAGCTTGCTTTATGCTGCTGTTATCGGACACAGTACCATGTCAAAAAATATCAAAGTAAAAAAAAAAAAAGATTGCTCCTTGTCAGAAAAGAGTTAGTGGCTGCACAAACTGTCAAAAGGGAGATTTAAACAGACAGCTGGAGATGCTCCTTAGTGAGCATTTGGACTCATTAAATCTCTTTGAGGCTATTATCAGAATGAGTGCCAGTAATGGAAGTAATAAACAATGGTGCCTTATTTTGTCATTCAGCTGCTTCTTATACCTCATTTCTGATAATTGTTTCTAAAACACTTTTTTATCCAGCTTTTTTTTAAAAAAGAATGAATGTTTGCTCACATGGTTTGCTATATAAATACTTCATTTAACATTCCTCCCCCCTTTTAAGTTTATTCAGCTTCCTTAAGTCAAACTCAGATGGCACCAAAATGTTAAATGCTTATCCAGTTGACTTTGATCATTTTTGTGCGCCCTTAAGTTATACCTTGATAAACGGCCACATTAAGATATACATTGAAGCTATTTTATGCCATGGTTTGCTGCATAGCACATATATTTCCAGAAAGTAAATGTTATGGGCTATGCATTATTTGGTAGGGATTTGGGATTCTGTTTCCAGGTCACTTTAAAGAGCAGAAGAGCATAGTATCAGCTGCCGGTTGAGAATAAGTTGCACTAGAAACTTTGGGTGATGTGATTGGGCACAATAACAGTTTTTCAGTCTATGAGCACTAAAAGAGTAATCCAAGCACCTTATTCACTCCAGTAGAAACTGACTTGCTAAAATGCGTGGAAGATGCTCTGCACCACCTTTTAGTGGATTGCACTCTGAATCCACTGATTTTAATTGTGTTCTAGTTTTCTACATTTGTGTGATACTTAGGGATAGGTTGCTATAAATAAAAATTACTAACTGGTAAAACGAAGATTTAAAAAAGCTGATGTAGGAAGTGTTTAAATTGCACCATGGCCAATATCCAACATACTTTGAGTATGCCCAGTGAAATCAATGGACTCATAATTTAAGTCCATTAATTTTATTGGGTCTACTTTGAGCATGACCTAGTTGGATATCACCTGATACATTTAAAGCTAAAGCCCAAATACTTCTGAATAAAGCTGATCTCTCAACTGTCCGTAATAATGAGCTTAAAGCAAAATTATGCAATGATAAAGGAGGATAAAGTAGACAATGACAATCTTTATTTGCCGGGCAACTGAACTAAAATGTGATCTAATTTATTTACCCTAAAGCATAGTGAGGTCTCCATTTTCGGACCTAATATTAAGAAGTGCAAGGGAGAAATGGGAATAACATTTTGCTGCCTGAAATATTTGTGGTCCAATTGTACAATAAAACCTTGGAATATTTCTCAGTGTCAAAATTACATTGTGGCTAACAAAAGCTACTTGAGGTTTAAAAAGTCCTGGTTTTATTAGCTTTGAGTTCAGTATGTAAATAGTAACCTATATATAAACTAACTAGATTGTATTTCCTGCTCACTTGATGCTTTTTGAGATGCATTCCATTTCATCAATAGAACCACAACCAGACAGGAAAGTAGACTACTGTTTTTGTGAAACGTTCCATTAAATTACTGGAAGCAATATGTACTGCTTTTTTGCAGTCTGCTACTAGAGCACAGTATGTTACAGCACAAAACGCAACATTAAAAAGACTCTTGGCTGGATGCTGGTTAGAATATGTATGCTATCTAATGGTAGCATTTGCCAGTGTTTGTCCATGCCTGTGCCTTTGCCCACCTTCACCACTTTTCAAAATAAAGTACACGTTGGTAGATTCTTAAACTTTTCTTCATTTACCATTAAGAACTGTAGAGGAACAACATTAATTTTGCATCTCTTGAATTATTTATAGTGGTGTGATACACAACAGATGATTATCTTAGTTTGGTATACACAAAAGGGGAGGAGGGAATAATTGGGTTAACATTTAACACTTTCATGTTTTTAAAATGTGGTCTTACTGGCATTTTATACATTGTTAATCAAAGAAAATCTTATGCAACATGTATGGACTGCAGCTAGAAAGAAAATTGTTTCTATGTACTTTTGAGGAAAACATCTTGCTGTAAGAAAAATGACCTCCACGTTTTCTGTACTAAATAACCTGGCTATGACTTTGCACTGAATTTTTTAAATATTACTGCTTTTTTATGATCTACACATATATATGAAAGCTCAAGAGATCTTTGATATTTCTCTATTTTTAAAATTAAAATGGTGCAGAAATCTTAGTATGTTGCCTTAAAAACCTGATTGCTCTTTCTAGGATACTATACAGTGCAGCTTTCAAATTGAAGAAATTTTATTTCTGGTATTTGCTGAGTTACGGGCACAGTATAATGCAGAGTTATGTATGCTTAAGCTCATTTACACCAATGGACTTAAGTCTGTTTGTTTTAGATTGTAGCCTATGCATGTTACATGGAGGAAAACCATTCAGGCAATATAGCACCATTCTCACAATCCATAGGAATTTAATTTCCTTCTGTGCTTTGTACTCTCATACTGTGACTAAAAAAAAGTATGGCAAAGGTTCATAGATAATGAAATGCATTGGGAGCAAATGTAGAAGTTTGCCTTGAATTGTCTATTTATCTGTAAGAACCAAATACTTCAGTTATATTACACTGATAGCCAATAAGGATGTACAGTACAGTATTTCTATCGGTATCCTAACCCATAATATGTGGGTTAAATGTGACTCCATAACTATCCTACAATTACATTAAACACTATTCTGGAATAAATAACGTATTGCCTCTTTTTCTACAAACACTGGTATGTGTGTGTAGGGAAGTAGAAAAACACAAGCTACAAAAATAATGTAGGTGCCTTGTGATAGATTTTACTATTACCCATTCAATTAGCAAAGCCTAAATTCTCTGTTGTTTGCTATTAGCAAATTTCTATCTTTGGCTACTACTTGTGTCTGGTTTGAAGTACAAAACTCAAAGCCACTGCATTTTCTGGAGTTGGTGTTTGTACAGCTCAGATAAATCTGAGGGCACCTTTAAAATTTCATCAGCTTAAGAGTGCACAGCTGCTATATTTTCCTTTTCTGCAGAAAATGTAGAACAGCATTTGGTCACATTTTAAAAATTACTACTGTATTGTCTTTATTTCACTATCTGGCTGACTTTTGTGGCAACAGTACACAAAGCAAATACTCTCAGCAATTTACACACTATGTTGGCTGGGTTTGCAAAACTGATGGCAGTTCTTTGAGTGCTTGGGATTTTATTTAAAACCATGCTGCCATTGGGCTGAAATTGAATGTGGAAGGGGCTTCCTATCCTTTTTTCTTTGTGCTGTTTTCTGCTGAATAGCATCTCCACTCACTGCTTTTACTTCTTCAGTGGTTGTAAAAGTATAGCTGTTTCCTGCAAGAAAGGAAAATAGTCAAGAAAAACAGTTTCATGTCAAAAGTACATATAAGGGTCTGGTGACTTCTGTTTCAGTGTATGTGAAGAAGTGTGCATGCACACAAAAGCTTATACCAAGAACAAACTTAGTTGGTCTCTATGATGCTACTGGACAATTTTTTAATATATATTTCGACTGCGTCAGACCAACACTGCTACCTACCTGCCTCTTTGTAATGTCAAATATAGTGCTTGATTGGACAAGTAGATGGTTTGCATGTTAAATATTATGGATTAGTAATTGCAGAAAACAGTTGTTTCCTGTAACAACAGACACGGCCCAGCACATCCAGAGCTCAACACCTTTAGATCATAGCTGTCAACTTTTCCCTTTTCTTGCGAGGGATTCTATTCGGAATAATTATAATTTCCCTTTTAAAAAGGGGAAACGTTGACAGCTATGCTTTTAGATGCAAGTTTATTTTAAAAGAAAAAATACACAGTAGAGCATGAGATTCTTAATTTCTGGTCGTTGGCTCAAGCCCTGTGTTGGGCAAATAGAGCTAGGGGTTCCAATTTTACAATTGAATGAAAACAAATACAGTACTGTGCATGGTAGTCCCTTCTGGAAACTATACTGTAGGTGTCATGGTAGTTGCATTACAACACTACACATCAGCGCTCTAGCACAGGTCAAGCCAAGGAACTCATTTACTCTGTTTTACTGTCTCCATATTTCAGATGGCGGTGGAGGTTCTTAAAACACGGTTTCATACTATACAGAGAGAATATATATATATATATACAGGGTGGGAAAATGTCACCTGAGGAAACAAGTTCTGTGCCTGCCTTATTTGACTGTCACCTCTGTAATCAACATTTGGGAGAAAACAATGTTCAATCAGAAATATAGACAGGCTATGCTCACAGTATCCATATGAAGAAATAGACCTCTCAGACACTCTGGTTCTTCTATGGAACCTGTTGCTCCATCCCTGCAAAAACAGCATCGAAGCGATCGATCCTCTCTGAGGGTTAAAAAGAAGCGCCCTCGGTGAGCTCTATGAAGAAGCCCCTGACCAGAGAGACTGTATCATTTGTCACAGCAGCTGTTTCTGATATTTCGCATCACTAAGAAGTGCGTAAAGAACCGTATCGATTGCTATTAAGGAATCTCTTCTTCGTTTTGCTACTGCGCTTTCGATGTATAGCGATTGTAACGCTTTATGTCACTTAATTTGAATGCCATTATTTGAATGGCATCTGGAGGGGCGCCTGCTGTTCTCTACCGGAGCCTTTCGTCACTGAGGTGTAGTCAACCCCTGTTGGGATCCACAAAGGCTCTTATGGCCACTGGCGCTGAAAAAGCCCCTTCCCGCCAGCCGCGCCCGCCACTAAGCGCCCCGCGCCTCCGGCTCCCTTCCCGCGAGTGAAAATAGACCGGCTGCGCTGCCCCTCTAGCTTGCTGCGAACTCTATGGATCTAGCGAAGCAAAATGGATGTCTCCAAACAAAACAGGAAACCCGAGAGCGGCGGCGGCGGCGGCCGAGCGCGCTTACGTCACTTCCGACTGCAGGAAAGGGTAGATCTGCACGGCCGCCTCGCTTTCCTCTTCCTTTTCGCCGCCGCCGCCGCCATCATGGGTCGCATGCACGCTCCTGGGTGAGTCGTCCGCGGAGGGGGGAAAGGAGGCGAGGGCCGGGGCTGAAGAGGAGGGCGCTCTCTCTAGCGATCCTGGGGCCGGGGGGAGCTAGTGGGGCCGGGCTCTGGGCTGGCGGCGCGTAGCTTCGGGGCCCTTTTCTCGGAGGCCTCGAGGAGAGGAACCGCCTTGTCTCCCGGGTGTCCATGGCCGGCCTCGGCCTCGCTGCTCCTGGCTGACCATTAGCCTGGGGCTGGATCTTGGGGTTCATTGTGAATGGAGACGCAGGGTGGTTTTCACCCTGGGCTTCCCGACTTTCTCCTGGGGAGGCCTCTGGAGTCGGGCCGCGGGAAGCCGCCACGCTTGGAGACGTGGGCTCAGACTTGATTTAGTAAAAATGAAATCGTCGTGGGGTGTAGCTTTCCTCCCTCCCTTTTTATAAAACCAGAAAATAGTGGGGCTGTTGTAGTTCAAGAGTTTTTATTTTTCCATTGGTTTGACTGCACACGGTCTTGGAAGCATCACGGGTGGTCATAACATTTATGGGTTGCCGCTGCAGCAAGTTGGTAACTCTGTTGGGTATCAGATAATGAGCTGCTTGTCTGTCATGTTTCCAGAAATGCATGTTTAAAACTTTATACTCATTTCCTTCGGTTTCTTTTCCCACAGGAAGGGCCTGTCCCAGTCTGCCTTGCCCTATAGGCGAAGTGTGCCCACAGTAAGTAATATCTTCAGTTGTTTGTGATCCTGCTTTGGCTTAACAAATGTTCCCAATGTATTATGGTGTACAATCAAATAATACTCACGTGGGTTGCCATTGTAGAAAACTATTTTGGCCTACAGTGTATAGACTAAACAGTGATGCTATCATGCATTTGTCAAAGTGTCCTGTTTTCTAAAAGCTCTTAGTACAGGGAAGTACTCTCTAAAGTGCTGCAACACTTCTGTTCAACAGGTAGTTAAATAATAGGCAAGCCTTTCTCAAATATTTATATTAATGAAGCACGCTGAAATTTATCTGTGGCTGCAACTGTATACATTCAGTTTAGCGTGGCACTGGAAATGGTTTGAAAGGTAAGAACATAAGAAGAGCCTGCTGGATCAGGTCAGTATCTTGTTCTCACAGTGGCCACCTATAAGCCTGTGGGAAACCTGCAGGATCTGAGCACAAAAGAGCATTCTCTCCTGTAGTTTTTAGCAAGTGGTATTCGGAGGCATGTTGCCTCTGACCATGACGGGGAAGCAAAATCATCATGGTTAGTAGTCATTGATGGTCTTAGACAAATTTCTATAATGACATTATGATACTGGCAGTTTTATTTTCAATTCCTTTCCTAATGATCCCTAACATGGTATGTGCCTTTTTCACAGGTGCCACACACTCAGTTACTGTCTTTATCAACCTGTCTACTATGACCACAATATTTCCTTCCTGGAAAGTCTCTGCTGGTTCTGACCCCATGAGCATATATATTGATACTCTTTCTCCCCCCCCCCCCCATACACACATGTGCCTCTTTACAGTTGTTCACACTGAAATACATTTGTCACTTTACTAGTTTGGAGTAGTCCTTTTGGATCTCTTTACAGTTTCTTATAGTGATCCTGAACAAAAGTGGTATACATTTGTACATAGGTGCAATTTAAAAGCTATCAATTAAAACAAAAAATCAACATAAAACAGCATAGCAGCTACTGTGGGGTTACAATGCATCCCACCACTGTTTTCTGAAAATAAATGCTTCAAGGATATGCATTAAGATTTAGCAGAGAGGATTGTTTGAAAGACTCCTAGACAGTTGCATTTTCTAAAACTGTATTGATGCTATGTAATGTATTGCATGGTTAGTGTAGTCCCAGTTTGATTCTGGGTGTTAGTTTATACTACCAACATAAACTATGTGTGAACTAATCTGGCTCACAATTGAATTATTACAGTGGCTCAAACTTACTTCTGATGATGTCAAAGAGCAGATCTACAAGTTGGCGAAGAAGGGCCTAACTCCCTCACAAATTGGTATGTTGAGCTAATGTACCACATTTGGCAGGTATTACTCCTCTTGGCTACATAGAGTTTTTACAGTTCTAGTTGTGTTGCTTGACTTGGCTAGTGGAGTGCTCAGATGGTATAGCTGCATTTCTGTTTTGGGTTAAGCATATAAGTCTTAAATCATGTGTAATACATTGGATTGGAGCACTGTGTGTTTGTGTGTGTTACTAAATAAATATTTCAGCCCATTAAATTTCAAAGATTTCTTTGGTTTCAGCCCTCAAATTCCATTGCTTCTAAAATTTCAAGGTGCTGTGTAGTCACTATTAGGTTGAGTTTATAATTGATACACTCAACAAGTACCTGTATTTCTGAGTGTGCATAGCACTGTTTCGCTCAGGTTGCTCTCTGTGACTAACTGTAGGAAACCATTTTTTATTTCCATCAGAATAGTTCTCCCTTGTATGGACTAATAATAATAATAATAATTGACTAATAATTTCTTGGTTGAGTGAGCATTTCCAATCATAGCTGAGTTGTCTTGTATTTCTAAAAGTGTGTAATTATTTCTCTGTTTCAGGTGTGATCCTCAGGGACTCCCATGGTGTTGCCCAAGTTCGTTTTGTGACAGGCAACAAAATTCTAAGGATTCTTAAATCCAAAGGACTTGCCCCTGATCTTCCAGAAGACCTTTACCACTTGATCAAGAAAGCTGTGGCTGTCCGTAAGCATCTTGAGAGGAACCGGAAGGTAAGCTGGCTATACTCCATCCTCAAGGTTATAAAATGGGACCTGCAGTTGTTCTAAGAACAATTCAGAAGATCATGCCTCTAGGTTGGGGAAATCCATTATGTAAGATTTCACTGAACATCCCCTTCCCTTTCTAGTTAGTTTCTTTTGTTAAAAAGCAGTATTTATAAGAAAATTGGTTTTCCCCCCTTAGGATAAAGATGCCAAATTCCGTCTCATTTTGATTGAGAGCAGAATTCATAGGCTTGCTCGTTATTACAAGACCAAGAGAGTACTCCCACCTAATTGGAAGTAGTAAGTATAATTTGCTCTTGATCCTGGTGTAGAAATTTCCCTTGAAGAAAAAAAAAGTAGGCAGCAGGTTTCAGTTTCCCAACCTTGTGACATTGGATGGGGGGGGGGTTTAGCACTTGTGCAAGGAAAGCTGCTGTCATAATGTTCTAAACCTAAAATTTCTGTTACATCTGATTTGACAATAGAATAGGCTGGCTACCTATAGACTCAGTTTTTTTTAAAGGGTAATGTAGCCATTAAATGCAATTGGGATATGCTTCTTTAAAAGAAGTCAGCTCTTTCCAGCCCAAGTGAGTACTGTTGGCCTACAGGTGCTATATATGTAGTACATCTATAATAGAATAACTTGTTAGAAATATGTGCTAATCCTGTTAACAGCTATACTAGGCTAGATTTCCTCCATAGTTCTTTAAGCATTCAGTTGCTTCATTTGCAGATTGCTCACTGTGATGATTGTGTTCCAAACATTCGTAGTTTCCACCAGAAAGGTTTTTCCTTTGTGTTGGCTCAGCCCTTCCTTGGATGTCTGAGTGAGCCGCTGGAATTGTCATAAAATTCCTAAATGCAGTCTTGTGGGTGTTGCACTTGCCACATCTTGACATCTCTCTTTTGCCTCCCTCTGTCTAGTGAATCATCCACAGCTTCTGCTCTGGTGGCGTAAGACCTGTTCTATTCACCGAGGGATCACATTGGTCATTTTTTGTGTCCCATGCAATGCCTCTTCAGAGAAGGATGCCGTAGAGCTGTCTTATTTAAAATTGGCAGAATAAGATGTTATCTTGACCATGCGAATAAAAATCTGTTTTTTCCACCAGATTTGTAAAGATTTCTTAATGTAAAACTGCTTTTGTGCTGCAAATTAATTTACATGAGTTGTAAGCCAGTAGCAGATTGTGGGATGGGGTGGAGGTGCTTACCTTACCTCCTGGCAGGTGAATCGTTGCAGCTTTCTGAGAGAAGCAAGATGGTGATGATGGAAATGCACCAGTATAGCTAGTCTGGTGGTGGTGGTGTATTTGCACCATGCGGTTCTCCCTGCCATGCCCTTGTTTTTTGGTAAGCAGCAGTGACTTCCACTTCACTATCTGCTGCTGTATAAGATTATAATTGAAGGATGCAAATGTTGACAATATATTATATTTCATTCTAGATTGGAGAGTGTTCCATTTGCAAATTGAGTATTAATGAAATTTTGAGACTTGAATGTAAAAACAACCAATAATGGCTTCCTTCTTGCAGTTGCCTATTTCCAAGGGTTGTGCACTTTTCCTTAAACTGATGAGAATATAAATCATTTCTTCACTGATGTATAACCAGTCTTAACAGTGAATGGCATCCATTGGTGTCGTCCCCCTTGTGCAACAGGTTTCCATTTGCGCAATGGAACTTGCCTTTTCTCTCCATGCACCCTTTAAATCTACCTGCAGAGGGGTTGGGGGGACCCTCTGGAGCAGAGGGAGGAGGCACTGCAGGCTAAAGGGGAAACAAGTCACAGCTGCTGGTGCATTGTTGGAAATCACAACCAGGACAGCACCTCGGGTGGCACAGTGCGTCTGCCTGTTAACCAGAAAGTTGGTGGTTCAAGCCCACCCAGGGATAGCTGTGGGCAGGATTCCTGCATTGCAGGGGCTTGGACTCGATCCACTCTTCAAGTCTATGACTCGGTATGTTCAAAGAAGCACCCTTTATAAGAGGCCATTTTAAGAAATATGTCAGTTGTTGGGGGAAAATGGCTACTTCAGGCTGAAAGGTGTTCTTCAGATAGATTCTGTATGACTTGATTTTGTAGGGCAACACAAATCTTTTTCAACTTTGAATGAGGGGTTTCCTATTCAGATGTATGACTTGTTGCCACATCAAGCATATGCCTGTCTTCCCTTTCTTCCACCCCTCCGCCTTTTCCCCATTGTTAAAGGCAGCATGAGCCACTTGCAAGTTTTTTGTTCACTAATGAACATTCCCCATCACTCATGCATTGCCAGAGGTATTACCATTTGGAACCAAGTCTTCATTCACTTTAGCATCACTGTTCCCTGAGCTATTTTCATTACATTCTAGTTACGTTTTGCTTAGGCAGCAAATGATACAAGCTTTATTTAAGACACCTAGTTAAGCAACACACAAAAGATACGTATGCACCTCTGCTGTTGGCTGGTTCGGGAATGTTTTCGCATGGTACTGCAAAAGCATCCAACATTACACAAACATCTTTCAAGAACACTGGATCCAGACAGGCAGGTTCTGAGAGCTTCCAGAGTGTCAAACATTTGGAGTTCTCCAAGAGGGGCCAGGGGAAATAAAAACACTATTGGAGTTAAAGCTGTATACGGTAGTTTGCATTGGTTTTCTATTTTTGAAGTGTGTTCTGCAGAGGAACAGAATGCTTGAATTTCCATTCACAAGCAGAATCTGACATTCATTTGGGAAGAATATTACTCTAGGTAAGCATAGCATAAGAGCCTACTACACTAATCCAGCCCTCTGGCAGGGATTTGATTTTTCCTCTGAAGCTTTCTGTTAGCTTTATGTGGCATATTGATGGCGTCTGAGCCGCTGAAGCACAGTGGGGTAGGCAGGGTTTATTCTGTGTAGACTCTAGAACTGCAGTGTTAAATATAAAAGTATTGTCAAAGAATGGAAAATTTTGATCTTCTACAATACAAACACAGTGGTTAATTTGAATAGGACTGGGGAGACCAGCCATGAAGCTCACTGGCTAAGCTGACCGTAGGCCACTGACTCAGCCTAACTTACCAATAGGGTTGTTGGGAGGATAAAATGGGAGGAAGGACCAATAACACCTTGAAATTCCTGAAAGAAAGTGTATAAACAGAGGATAGTCTAATAAGCTATTCCCGAAGTGAATCGATTCACCATGCCATTTTTTAACTTTGATACTTCAACAACTACCAACAAATAGTATGTGGATAAGCAGATGCACAAAAGGCTTTGTTAACTTGCAAATTAGCTATTTTAAGGAACACAGGAAGCTGCCTTATACTACTGTATATTCTACATTGGCTGGCACCAGAAGGAATACATTCTCAGACCTTTTGTGTGTAAAAAGCATATGATTTATCTTGCTCCTAAAATACCCTGCACTGAAGAAAATTATTCATTATGCATTTCCAATAGTAAATCAGGTTTTAGGCTTCATCCCCCAGAAGAATGAACTACTTGTAAATGTTATCCTATAAAAGAGGTTGCCTTTCCTTGCCTTATTTCAAGGAGATGTAATTTCAGTAATAACAATACTTTAGGAAACTCTTCAACTTTCTTGCGCCTTGAAAATGACATATAACAGACATACCACCACAGATTTCTGTATAAAAGTTGAGTATGTGCTTAAATTTTTCACAATGAATTTGTTGGCACTTAGTTTTGAGTGGATTCTAATATTCATATTTACAAACTAGGACAAGATTCCTGAGATACTGTACATTTAAATCAAGCCCAATGTTTCATGTTAACTCTGCTTTCTAGATGAGATGGGAGGGGCGGAGATTACTAGGTCTTGGCTGTAGTCCTCAAAATACTGCACTTTGGAGAAGAGCTTTTGGAGTTAATACGAATGGCAATAACACAGTCAAGCTTTTGATTCCATGTTTGTGCACGCAAGAATTGAAAATACTGCAGAACATCTCTTGTGATCCAGGCGGAGGGGGAAAGCAAGATTACTGCCCTTTTATGCAGAGCCCATAAGCAGCTGTTGCTGTGAAGTATCAGCAGAGGTCCCTATGCTCCCAGCAGTGTTGTATGTTGACACTGGCCTGGCAACATTTTAGAATGCAGGTCATGTGATCAGCTTTTCTTCTGCAGCCAATGCTACCGCCTTAAGCTGCCAAGAAAAGTATTCAGAAAGCACTGCATTTTGTGTGTGTGTGTGTGTGTGTGTGTTTGCCAGATCAAAGTCCTTGTGCTAACTCAAAATGGCAAAACACGACTTCAGTGGCAAACCTGCAGCTGGTTTTTCTTTTACCACTAATCTGAACTGCTGGTTTTATTTGTGCTCTGTTGCTGAACAGATCTTTAGAATTGCTCTGATTGCATTAATATAATACGCTACTAAAGCTTGCTACAGCAGGTGTATCTTCTGGTGAACTGGGGACAGGTGTTTCACAAGGGATACTGGTTTCAGGATTTTTATTTCAGGTTTTTAAAAACACGATCTGGCTAAGGCATTTTAATTCTTTGTAGTAAAACACACATTGCATTCCACAAATATGCAATGTGTGTACCTGTGTCTACAAACAGCTGAGCTGCATTTATTCGCCGGTAATGTTCAATGCATGTACAGTCTGTGTACAACCATAGTTGAGATGCATAATAAATGAGCAAGTGTACAGTACACAAAATGTGTAGTGACAGATTTACTTGTGTTCAGTGTAATATGTGAAATGTAAGGCTTATGGTGGTGGTGGTGTTTTACAACTCACAAGGCTGGAAAACAACTTGTAATCAATAGCAGGCTTAAGTTATTTCAGGTTTTTTACTCCATTGGAATTTTTGAAAAGTAGCTTACATGTCACTATCTAGTTGGTGGGTGCCCACTGGGAACATCTTGCACAAGGGCGCCCTATAACTTAGTACTGGTGCTGTTTTCAGGGGGCCTAATCACACACACACAATTTCCTGTTTTGTGCACAAGGAGCTACCAACATGGTTCAAGTGGCAAGGCTGAACTGCCAGTGGCTAGGGAATTTAGTCCAGGGAAGCCCAGGATGAAATCCCTTCCACAAACCTTACTCTGGAAGCCTTGTGGGCTTGTAGTGAGAATAAAAGTGAGCTGTTGTGAGGTGCTTTGAGGAAAAGTGAGATAGAAATTAAGTGACTACATCACTTCATCTTTAGATCTTCAGATACAAGGGGGAGGGAAGAGCTATAAGTAGCCCCAGTGGCACTACTTATAGCCCAGGGCTCCACTTAGAAAAATGAACAGGAATACAGCAGGGCTGGCTTACTACCTTTTGAAGTTAAGTGTGGGGCCCCACATAACACCATTAAGTCCAAAGTCTAAAAATGTTAGCAAAGTCACTTAAATAACACAGATGGAGTCCAAAGAGAAACATGTTAATGAGAGAAATGGTATGCAGCTTGAGGAGAAAGAAGCAAAAGAGGTTTTGTCCTTCTTAGGTCAGGTCTTGCTGAGAACAGAGTTAATGTACAGTGCAACTTAACATCCACCTCTCAGACCTATGCAGCCAATCAGAGCAGGCACCACCTCACCAGAGATATGTCACTCTGACCAGTTGCTAAGCAACACCTCCCCATGGGTAGCTGACTAACACGGAAAACAGAATTAACCGGAAAACAGAATTAACCGCATAAGTTACAAACAGAATGATCCCAGATGTTGCACTTTCAACAAATACCACCTTCCCCAATCCTGTGCCCTCCAGATGTTTTGGACTACAACTCCCATCAGCCCTAGCCAGTGCCACTGTGCTTGTAGTCCAAAACATTTGGAGGGCACCAGTCTGGAGAACATAATATTTCTCACAAGTAGCCTGTTTTTAAATATGAACATAGAAAGCCAGGCTAACTACCATATTATAAATGCTGCATAGGATCCTTGGCAGCTGCACTTCAAGCTGCTTTGCCTATTAACAAGTGTTGTAGATCATTACATGTCTCTCATTCATGCCCTGCTAAACAGCACAAAAATATAAAGCCACCTTATTCCCCCATCTGCAAGACACTTTTATCTCATCCTTACTCCAAAGAGATCACAACAGCATACATGATTCTTCTCTCCTGCCCACCACAACAACCCTGTGAGGTAAACTAGGCTGAGAGAGACAGGGACTAGGCCAAGG